AGTACTTGGGTCCCTGCCACTCACGTGACAGACGCAGACAAAGTTCCGGGTTTCTGGCTTCAGCCTGGCCTGGGTCTGCCTGGCTGGTGTGAACATTTGGAGCGCAAACCAGTGGATGGAAATATCTTTCTTCTCTGTCTTTCTCTTTTTGTCCCTGTCTCTCTGCCTTTCAAGTAAAATGAGTATTTATTTATTTAGAAACATTTTGAAAAGAAGACATAGAAGGGCCAGAAATAAATGAAAAAAAAATACCCACATCACTAATCATTAGGGAAATGTAAATCAAAACTACAAGGAGATGTAGATAAACTCTCACCTCGGTTGCAATGGCTCTAATCAAAAACACAAGAAATAACAAATACTGGTGAGGCTGTCGAGAAAAGGAAACTCTTATATCCTGCTGGTGGGAATGTAAATCAGTACAGCCATTACGGAAAACAGTACGGAGGCTCCTCAGAAAACCAAAAATACATCTACCGTAGGATCCAGCTAGCCCTCTGCTGGGTTTACATCCAAAGGAAATGAAATCAGCATGTCAAAGAGACACCCAACATTCCACACTGACTGCAGCACTATCTATAACAGCAATTTGGTACCAGCCAGGTGCCATCAGCAGATGAACAGACAGAAGAAACGTGTATTTTAATTCAGCTTTCCACAAACATTTTGAAGCCTCCTCTTGTTTATGGCAACACGGATGGAAATGGAGGACACTGTGTTAAGTAAGATAAGCCAGGCACCCTTTAAAAAAATGGTAAGGCAGGCACAGAAAGACAAGTACCAGATGTTCTCACTCATATGTGGAGGCTAAAATGTGGATTTCATGGTAGAAAGTGGAAAAGCGATTACTAAAGGCTAGGAAGGGGACGAAAGGGAGCCTGGAAATGGGTATCAACCTACAGCTACACAGGAGGGGTAAGTTCTAATGTACAGCACAGTGGGGTGACTACAATGCACAGCCGTTTACATGTATTCTGTAAAGACACGGAAGGCTGAAAGCTTCCAACACAAAGAAATGATAGATGTTTATGGAGATGGAGATGCAGATTACCCTCGTCTGACCATCCTACGTTGTATATTTATACTGAATGATCACACAATACTATGTGATTATGGACAGTCATTGTTTATGAATTTAAAAAGGAATTAAGAGGTGGGTGTTTGGCCTAGAATGCCCACAGCCTATGTCGTCAGAGTACTCAGGTGTGAGTCCTGGCTCTGCTCCCAAGTCCAGCTTCCTGCTCATGCAGGCCCCAGGGCAGCTCCCAGCTTTGGCCCGGCTCGGTCTAGCCATTTCTGGTAGCTGTCAGCTTTCTCTGTTTATGTTTATTTCTTTCTGCCTCAAATTTTAAAAAAAAAAAGCTTTTAAAAAAAGTAAAAAAGATTTTAAAAATTGAAATAAAAGTGATATAATATACTTTCAAAGAAATTGCCCCAAATTTAAAACTGATCAAGTAGGATGCCTGTGGGAATCTACATTTTTGGAAAGGAATTTTAACAATATCAAACAATTTATAAGTATTGTTCTCTTTCCATGTTTACCCAATTTGCACTTTTCTAGAGCTTTCCTAAAGAAAACATATACATTTGCCCAAGAACGTACATTCAGTGATCTCTATCTCTGCCTGATTAGTCATAAGAACAAATGAGACATAGTTTAGGCATCCATCAGAACGAGAATGATTAAATTAATTATGGCACAGTCATGGTTGGGCCAAAGTCAGGAGCCAGGAACTCAATCCAAATCTCCCATGTGGGTGGGAGGAGCCAGCCACTTCAGCCATCACTTGCTGCCTCCCAGGCTCTGCACTGGTCGGAAGCTGGAACTGGGGCAGAGCCAGGACTCAACCCAAGCATTTGATGTGGGATGCAGGCACCCCAAGCACCCAGGAACCATTTTGGAAGGCTTCCTAATTCATGCAGCATGGGTGCAATCATCTGTTGTTATAACCAACACTATTCAGGTCCCAAAGAAATGTGCTTCCACACAGCTTGTACTGTTGCTGAAGCAAAGGTGATGGTGACCAAATGCTGGCAAGATGTGTGCGACTGCCGATCCTAGAGAGGGGCCCTTGTTTAGAATTCAGGGAGAGGGAGAAGGGCTGGCACTTTGAGCGCAGCAGGTTAAGCCACTGCTGCAGCACTGGCATCCCACTTGGGTGCTGGCTGCTCTACCTCTGATTCAGCTCCCTGCTAACGCACCTGGGAAACTAGCAGGAGACCCAGAAGAAGTTCCTGGCTCCTGACTTCAACCTGGCCTAACCCTGGCCATTGCAGCTATCTGGGGAGTGAACCAGCAGATGGAAGATTCTCTCTCTCTCTCTCTCTCTCTCTCTCTCTCTCTCTCTCTCTCTCTCTGTAACTTTGCCTCTCAAATAAATAAATCTTTTAGAAAATGGAATTCAGAGAGAACTTGAGCAGGAAAAGTGCTTCGGGAAGTGGAAAGACAAATTCATTAGCTTGTCAGCCTTTCTCTTACTCAGCATGAATGCAGACTTTTTTTCATAACTATCATTTCTTAGTGGCGCCACAGTTGCACGTGGTGGCTGAAAGATACTCTCTCACACTAAAATATTCATATTACATTCAAGTTGGTATACAGAGGCACTTTCATTCAGTCCCTATACACCCATCCTTAAGTTGAAAATGTCGCAAACAGAAAATGAATTCCATACATGTTCCTAAGCGACTGCATATCCTGCCTTAGGACGCAGGTTGAGGGTAGTTTTCCTTCCGGACTGCATGGATGACTGGCAGCTGTGGCTCTCTGCTGATGCCCATCAGAGAGAGTGTGGGACTGCATACCCTAGCCCCAGAAAAGATCCAAATTCAAAGTACAGTTTCTCCCAAATCTGTATCACTTTCACACCACCATAAGTTGAACGATGCAAATTGGGAACTGTATACGTGCATAACAAGTATGACCGTGAAGTCACACTGGCAACTTAGGCATCCAAGGCTTGAATTACAGTTTTATTTTTTTAAAAAGATTTATTTTTATTTATTTGAAATTCAGAGTTACAGATTGAGAGGGAGAGACAGAGAAATCTTCCATCTGCGGGTCTACTCCCCAAATGGCCACAACAACCAGAGCCAGGCCAGACTAAAGCCAGGAGCCTCTTCCTGGCTTCTTCCGGGTCTCCCATGCGGGTGCAGGGGCCCATCTTCCACTGCCTTCTCAGGTGCACCAGCAGGGAGCGGGATCAGAAGTGGAGCAGCTGGGATTTGAACCAGTGCCCTCATGGGATGTTGGCATCACAGGCAGAGGCTTCACCCCCTTCACCACAGTGCTGGCCCCTGGTCTTATTTTTATAAAATACTTAGAGCTGAGAGGTGTGCACAGCAGTTAAGATGATGCTTGAGACTCCCACAGCCCACACCAGAGCCTGCGTTCATGTCCCGGTTCTGCTTGCCATCCCAGCTCCCTGTTAATGTGCAGAGATGGCTCACATAGTCAGATCCCTGCACCCTGTGGGAGGTCTGGATTGAGTTCGCTCTCCCGGCTTCTGCCTGGCCCAGCAGCTGTTGTAGGCATCTGGGGGGTGAAACTGGGTGGAAGGTCTCGCTCTGCCTCTCTTTCAAATAAAATACAAAAAATCAATTATTTAAAATTATATTTAATAAAATGTCAACTTTAATATATAACAACTTTATTTTAAATTTTAACAATTATAATTTGTATTTTGTACCTTTTTTTTTTTTTTTTGACAGGCAGAGTGGACAGTGAGAGAGAGAGACAGAGAGAAACGTCTTCCTTTGCCGTTGGTTCACCCTCCAATGGCCGCCGCGGAGGCGCGCTGCGGCCGGCACACCGCGCTGATCCGGTGGCAGGAGCCAGGAGCCAGGTGCTTTTCCTGGTCTCCCATGGGGTGCAGGGCCCAAGCACCTGGGCCATCCTCCACTGCACTCCCTGGCCACAGCAGAGAGCTGGCCTGGAAGAGGGGCAACCGGGACAGAATCCGGCGCCCCGACCGGGACTAGAACCCGGTGTGCCGGCGCCGCTAGGCGGAGGATTAGCCTAGTGAGCCGCGGCGCCGGCCTGTATTTTGTACTTTAAGTAATTTATACATTAGAAAGATGTCATTTGAAAGCATGAAAATAATCTTAATTTAAAATTTTTATATAAAAATATATTCAAAGTATGTAAAGCTTACTTGCTTTTAATTTTTTAATTCTTTAATTCATTATCATTAATAGAATACAGATTATGTGAAAATCTTGATTTATAATAATAAAATTAGTGACTTCATTGAAATGAAGCCAAGAAAAAATTGATGGTGTGTGTGTACGTACTTGGGATGCCAGCATCCTGTTTGAGAGAGCTCTTTTTGAGTTCCTGCGGCTCGGCTTCTAATGCAGCGTTCTTGCTGATGCACCTGGGAAAGCAGTAGAAGATGGCCCAAGTACCTGGGCCTCTGCAACCCACGTGGGAGACCCGGAAGAAGCTCCTGGCTCCTGGCTTTGGCTTGGCCCAGTTCTACACGTGTGACCCTTATGGGAGTGAAACAGCAGATGACCCCTCCCCCACCCCTTTGCTCTGCCTTTCAAATAAATACATACGTAAATACTTTTTAACAAAATAATGCGTGCTTATTTTATCATTCATTCAACCATATCCGGTCTACCAACAGAAAACCTAAATACGGGCAATAATAACTAAATATAATTGGTTTTGATATTCTTCTGAATGTGTAACTCCAGTAAAAAAACTTCCTTCCTTTCCTCTCCCACTCAATGCACAAAACGCTTCTGTGACCGGTTAGGTGTGAGTCTGCGCGTAGCTCCCCGGTCGACCCTCACTGCGTGTCCTCCATCCCTGGGGCTCCTGTGAGACCCCTCGGGGCGTGTGCACTTCTGACTGGCCAGCTGCACCCCAGGCTCCTCCCGCCCCTCCCTGGGTCAGAGGACTCAGGGAAACACTTAGGTTTCCCGGTGCTTTCAATAAAGGACATAATTCAGGTGAACAGCCAGACGCGGAGGTACAGGGTCCCCGGGGCAGGCGCCCACCCCGCCCACCCGGCAAGCTCATCAGCGCAGGCAACTGCCCCAGCCCCTCCTGGAGCTGGGCAGCAGGACGCGAAGTTTCAACCCCAAACCAATCCTCTAATCCCTGTCTTTCTAGGGACCAGCCCCATCCGTAGGCTCTCTAGGGGGTTCCGCCTCATGCGCTTAAACTCAGGCGTCCCGAAGGCAGCCTCTGGGGCCGCAGCCCCCACTGCGACCTGGGGAGCTGGACCCCACCCCTCGCCGCAGTGCCTCGCAGTCACACACCCTCGCCCCGCTGACCAATCCTAAACTTCCCGGCGGGACTCCGGTTGCGGTCCTCCCGCAACGCAGGGACCGGAAGTTAGGAACCCAGCGCTCAGGGGCCCGCGACCGCCGCCCGCAGTGCTCCGTCCCGTGCTCGCTCTCTGAGGGGCCTGAGCCTTGAACCCAGGGCCCCAGCTCCAGGTCGTGTTTCTGTGTTGGCTTTCAGTTTGCAAACCACAGGACTTCACTGTGGTAAAGTTGAACAGAATTTAGGGGTCGTTTGGCCCAGGCCTTCCACATCGCATGCATGACTGAATAATTGTTCGGAAGGCTCAGAGGCCGCTCTCTCCTTTCTGGGGTGCGAATTAGGGTCAAGACCGGCAGGTGCAGTATGTCCACAGCGATGCCCCTTAATCCTGGCTGTGCTGACCAAGGGCTCCCAGCCCCAGCCAGCTGTCAGACCCTGGGTTAAGATGGCAGAAGAGGAAGGTGATGTGGATGAGGGGGATGTATTCCTAGCATTTGCCCAGGGGCCCTCTCTTCCCAGGGGTCCCATTCAACGCACCTTGGACAAGGTCTTCTTCATCTTCCTCACCCTCTTTCTGACCCTGCTCATGCTGGAGGCCGCTTACAAGCTTCTGTGGCCACTACCATGGGCCAAGTTTGGGGACTGGCTCTTGGGGACCCCCCCGAAGGAGGAGGAGCTGGAGTTGTGACCGCAGCGTCTTTGCCTGCCACAGAGGTGAGAGGGGAGCCGAGAGAGAGAGAGAAAGAGAGAGAGAGAGAGAGAGAGAGAGGGAAATGGGGCTGTTGGGGGCTGTGGAGGGGACACTTGGAGGGTGTACAGCAGTCACCCTAAGTTTCTGCATCTGTTCTTGAGGGAAATTTTTGGAAAAGTATGTAACCCCTCACACATTTCAAAAAATGTCTGACACATTCTAATTGTACATATTCGTGGGGAAAGTGTGATTTGACACATGTATTAGAGTGTGCGATATCAAATCAGGGTAATTTGCACACCTGTCAGTTCAAACATTTATCATCTCTTTGTGTTGGAAACTTTCAAGCATTCTCTAGCCATTTTGAAGTATACATTAACTGTAGTTACTCTACTGTGCTGTAGAACACTAGAATCGACTCCTCCTGTCTAACCTCATTGTCCCTGTCTCCCTCTGCTCCCCACCTGCCTAGCCATATTCTACTTTCTACTTCTAGAAGATCAATGTTTTTAGCTTCCACGTATGAACGAGAACATGCTTTGTCTTTCTGTGCCTGGCTCACTTTAACACAACGACTTACTCATGTTGCCACAGATGACAGGATTTCACTCTTTAGTGGCCAGACAATATTCTACTGTGTATATATACCACGTATTCTTTATCCATTCATCACAGATGGATACTAGGCAGAGCCCATACTTCATCATATATAGTCTGGGTTTCAATCCATTATTGGATGAATAGCTTTCAAACGGTTATTTTTTTCCCCATTCTGCAGGCTGTCTCTTCACTCTGATGCTTGTTTCCCTTGCTGTACAGGAACTGTTTGCTTTGCTATCCCTCACATATTTTTAAGTATTCATCTAAAATTTTTCATCATAGGTGCTGGTGTTGTTGGTCCCTTGCAAGGGACACCAGTGTCCCCTATAGAGTACTGGTTCAAGTCCCAGCTCCTGTGTTCCTGACCAAAATTCCTGCTGATGCACCTGGGAAAACAATGGAAGATGACCCAAGTACATGCCACCCATATGGGAGACCCAGATGAAGCTCTTGGATTCTGACTTTGGACTGGCCCAACCCTGGCTCTTGTGGACATTTGGGGAGTGGACAAGCTGACGGAAGATTTCTTTCTGTGTGTCTCTCCTTCTGTGTCACTCTGCCTTTCAAATAAATCCTTAGTGGCCAGCACTGTGGTGTGATAGGATAAGCCTCTGCCTTCATCAGTGGCATCCTGTGTTGCTGACAGTTCGAGTTCCGGCTGCTTTACTTCCCATCCAGCTCTCTGCTATGGCCTAGGAAAGCAGTGGGAGATGGCCCAAGTCCTTGGTCCCTTTACCCACGTGGGAGAACTGAAAGAAGCTTCTGGATCCTGGCTTTGGATCAGCTCATCTCTGGCTGTTATGGACATTTGGAGAGTGAACCAGTGGATGGAAGACCTTTCTCTCTGTCTCTCCCTCTCACTGTCTGTAACTCTACCTCTCAAATAAATAAAAAAGTTCAAAAATCTTTAAAGTGAATAAAAATTTCATAAATTAAAATTGTTTCTAGAATATAATTCTTGATATGTTAAAAATACTCAGTTTAAAATAATCATCTTTTTTGGGGGGCTAGCGCTGTGGCGCAGTAGGTTAATGACCTGGCCTAAAGCGCCAGCATCCCATATGGGTGCTGGTTGGAGTCCCGGCTGCTCCACTTCCCATCCAGCTCTCTGCTATGGCCTGGGAAAGCAGTAGAAGATGACCCAAGTCCTTGGGCCTCTGAACTCACATGGGAGACCCAGAAGAAGCTCCTGGTTCCTGGTTTCGGATCGGCGCAGCTCTGGCCGTTGCAGCCAATTGGGGCGTGAACCAGTGGATGGAAGACCTCTCTCTCTCTGCCTCTCCTCTCTCTGTATAACTCTGACTTTCAAATAAATAAAAAATCTTTTAAAAAATCATCTTTCTGAGTGGTCAAGAGAATAGAAATATTGTGACTTGGTACCCACCAACACCCACTTAAAATAAAAACAGTAGGGAACCATTTTTCTCTTCTTCATTTTTTTCTTCTTGAACTTGAACTCCTACCATTCCATCTCCCAACAGACTTCTTAAAATGTTTACTTATTTATATCTATTTGAAAAGGAGGGAGGGAGAGAGGGAATGAGAGAGAGAGAGAGAGAGAGAGAGAGATGGAAAGAGATAGATATTTTCCATCAGTAGCCAGGACTTGAACTAACACCCAAGATAAAGGATGCAGGCATCCAGGCAGGGGCTTAACACCTTGCACAATGCCCACCCCCCACCCCAGACAACTATATGATTTTTATTCTTTTAAAGACATTCATTTAGGGGCCGGCACAGTGGCGGAGCGGGTTAGCACCCTGAAGCGCCAGCATCCTATATGGGCACCGGTTTGAGATTTGGCTGCTCCACTTGCGAGCCAGCTCTCTGCTATGGCCTGAGAAAGCAGTAGATGATGGCGCAAGTCCTTGGCCCCTGCACCCTCGTGGGAAACCCGGAAGAAGCTCCTGGCTCCTGGCTTCGGATTGGCACAGCTCCAGCCATTGTGGCCAACTGGGGAGTGAACCAGTAGATGGAAGACCTCTCTCTCTCTGCCTCTCCTCTCTGTGTAACTCTTTCAAATAAGTAAATCTTAAAAAAAAAAAAATGTATTCATTTAGGGGGACTGGCACTGTGGTGTAGTGGGTAAAGCCACTGCCTGCAGTGTATGGGCACCAGTTCAAGTCCCCGCTGCACCACTTCCCATCCAGCTCTCTGCTGTGACCTGGGAAAGCAGAAGATGGCCCAAGTGCTTGGGCCCCTGCACCCACATGGGAGACCCAGAAGAAGCTCCTGGTTCCTAGCTTCAGCCTGGCCCAGCTCTGGCTGTTGTGGCCACTCAGGAAGTGAACCAGCAGATGGAAGACCTCTCTCTCTCTCTCTCTGCCTTTCAAATAAATCTTTTTATTTATTCATTTGAAAGGCAGAGGCAGAGAGAGAGGGAGAAAGAAAGAGAGAGGAAGTCTTTCATCTGCTGGTTCACTCCCCAAATGGCCAGTGCTGGGCCAGGCTGAAGCTTGGAACCAGGAGCTTCTTCCAGGTCCCCCAGGACCATTAGCAGGGAGCTGGATTGGAAGAGGAGCAGCCAGGACCTGAAATAGCACCCATATGGGATGCCAGTGCTACAGGCGGCGGCTTTGCCTGTTACTCCACAGCACTGACAGCAACTATATGCTCTTTTTATCTTTTTAAACATCTACTTGAAAGGCAGAACTACAGAGGCAGAGGCAGAGAGAGAGAGGTCTTCCATCCACTGGTTCACTCCCCAAATGGCTGCAACGACCAGAGCCAGGCCGATTCAAAGCCAGGAGCCAGGAGCTTCTTCCAGGTTTCCCATGCGAGTACAGGTGCTTAAAGAATTGAGCCATTTTCTACTGCTTTCCCAGGCCATAGCTGAGAGCTTGATTGAAAGTGGAGCAGCTGGGACTCGAACCATCACCCATACATGGGATGCCAGTGCCAGAGGCAGAGTCTTAATCCACAGCACCAACACCAACTATATGCTCTTATATTTGAAAATCTTTTATTGACCAACCTCTTACGTTTTCCTGAAGGTACATATATACTAATTGAGATGAAAAATGTCTTTCTTGGGGCCGGCGCCGTGGCTCACTTGGTTAATCCTCCACCTGCGGCGCCGGCATCCCATATGGGCGCCGGGTTCTAGTCCCGGTTGCTCCTCTTCCAGTACAGCTCTCTGCTGTGGCCCGGGAAGGCAGTGGAGGATGGCCCAAGTGCCTGGGCCCTGCACCCGCATGGGAGACCAGGAGGAAGCACCTGGCTCCTGGCTTCGGATCGGCACAGCGCCAGCCGTAGTGGCCATTTGGGGGGTGAACCAACGTAAGGAAGACCTTTCTCTCTGTCTCTAACTCTACCTGTCAAATAAAAAACATTTTTTTAAATAAAAAAGTCTTTCTTGCGATTTTGACTCTTTGTTAAAAATATTTATCGTTACAATTATGAAAAACGAATTTATCAAGCAGCACAAAGATTGTGCAAATTTTTGCATTACGAATTTTTAATAAGCTAGAAGATTGTGTTCATGGTGCATCGCTGAAATAGACCACGTGTCTTTTGACTTCAGCCAGGTAAGAGACCCAGGCAACTTCACGGCTGTGAATTATTATAAGATGGAGAAAGTCCATTGTGAAGGGGAAGGAAGAGGGAGAACCTCTACCGCAGGCGCTCGCTCTGGGAGCCCAATTTTGGGAAAGCTGAGGATCTGAAACTTAAATCCTCTTTGTCAAGACCCAGTGGTCTTGGCGAGTTTTGTTGCTCAATTTGAAGGCTGTAGGCCTGGACGACTGGCGAGAAGTGACAGGGATTCTCAAAGGAAGCGTCAGGGATGCAAGGCCGCGGGCCTGAGGCAGGAGGCCACCACCCGCGCGTGGGCTTCGCGCTGTCCCCGCAAGCGCGCCTCGGGACGCGGCCCGGCCTCCCCCACGCGAGGCGTCTCCTCCGGCTCCTTCCTCACTCTGTCCTCGGCTCTCCCTGAGGAGCAGGAGACCACCGCGTCTCCCCGCACGCGCGGGGGCCATCGCCCAGCTGCTCCCCCCAGCCCCCGGACCCCACGACAGAGCCTCGAGGGGCCGATGCCGCCGCAGCGTCCAGGCCCCACTCGGAGAACAGCGCAGCGCCGCTCGGGTCCCGCCGGCTTGGACGCTGATTAGTTCTGAGGCGGAGCTCGGAAAGCCAGTCAACAACAACGTAGCGATAGTAATACCACCACCACCACCTTCAGGGAGCGCGGTGCTCGTTTGTACGCATGCGTCGACATTTCCCGGCCGGGGACGTAGCACCTGGAAGTGGAAGCGGCGGCCGGGCAGCGGCGAGGGGCGCAAAGCCCATTAAGCGGTGGAAACCGGTACCTGGGAGATAGGAAAGCAGGACCGGAAGCCTCACTAATTGCCCAGCGGAAGGAAAAGGTTTTATTTCCCCGTTTAGACACGCCTGCCCTTTCCTGAAGCCATGCACAGCCTTGGCGACCCCAGTTCTTCAGCCAGCCTATTCCACTGCCCCCCTCCCACCCCTGGGAAAGGTGGCTCAGTGGTCTCGGCACGCGACTAGCTGGCGGTTGGGCTCGAGGCAGGAAGTTTCTGATTGGCGGAGTCCCAGAAGCACCAGGTGAAAATAGCTCCGCCGGCTGAGGGCCCAAGTCACTGCAGAGCTGGGGCCGTACAACAAAATGGCGGCCCCCAGCAACTTCGGGACGCCCTGAAGGGGCAGGCCCCGCCCCCTACAGGTCAGGGGGAAGGGAGTCGCGGGCTAGGTGGGCGGTACTAGGCACGCTCGGTGGGGCCTTCCGGAAGCAGGAAGGCTGGGCTCCGTACGACAATATGGCCGCGCTTATACGCGTGTAGGCGGAAACTCCGCGGCTTCCGGTCTGTAGTGGGGCCTGCGGTGGGAGGGGGAAGGAAGGCGGAGGGAACCATGCGAGGTTCTGAGATCAGCGGCGAGGGTCGTCTCGTGAGACCGTTTCTGAGGTGCGGGCCGGACTGTGTGGGGAGCGAAAACGGGGGAGGGGATATCGAGGAGGCGGTACTGGGGAGACGCGGGCTCTGAGTCTGAGAGGCATGCTCTGGTACCTTATTCCTGAAGGGAAGTGGGGCGGCTAGGGGTCTGACCTGGGGGAGGGGGACTTGGCGGGAAGCTCATCTACCCTGCCGGCGCGACTCAAGGGTGGGATCCGAGAAGAATCGGGAGAGCCCACTGTAGGTCTCACGATCGGTTACAAGTCACAGAGAGCGACCAGGTAAAATCAGGGTGGGGTGAGAGGGAGGGCTCTTGAGGTGTCATACTCCAACCCAGTGCCCTGGTTTGAAGAAGCCCATCAGAGGGTGAAATACGGAGTTAATTCCAGGAGGGGAAAGGAGAATGGATCGTTGAGAGGACTGTTGGATTGTCTAGGAGTTGGGGTGATCATTAAGGGTGGGGTATGGGTTTGACATGTTTCGGGGTGAAAGGGGCCAGACGTGAGGCAGCCAGAGCGAGTGTGTTTTCCGTGTGTGAGGGTGTCATGGGAATCTGGGAAGCGGGACTGGGGTTGGAAGAACCAACTTGACAACTATGAGAAATAGTGGGGAGATGGAACAGAAAGACCGGAAGCCAATGTGAGAGGTAGAGCTGGGTGTGGCGATTGAATGTTTGCGGTTCCCTGTCCTGGGCCACTTGAAGGGCCCGGGAAGGCATCCAGAGCTAATGGTTGCAGAAGACAGGCAGTGAGGACACTGTTGGGCAGGGCTGGGTGTTGCTGAAACCCACGGAGATTGGAAACTGAGCTGAAGGGAGGGGCTATGCTGGAGGGGCTCTTTCTGAGGCCCCATCCCCTTCCAGCAGGAATTCTGAAACCCCCAACACTTCCTCCCTCCGGGGGATTTGATCCCTCATGGCCACCGCTAACAGCATCATTGTGCTGGATGATGATGACGAAGATGAAGCAGTCGCTCAGCCAGGGCCCTCCCACCCACCCCCCACTCCGGCCTCACCCCAGGCAGAAGCCCCTGGCTCCTCTGAGCCCCATGGGGCCGGAGGAAGCAGTAGTTCTGGCGGCAAGAAATGCTACAAGTTGGAGAATGAGAAGCTGTTTGAAGAGGTGAGCTTTAGGGGAGAAGATTCTTATACCCCAGGGAGGGGGATGGCGCACTGGCTCTCTGGTCCTCTCTCCCCCACTAACTGCACCCCCCCTTCTCTCTCTCAACCCCCTCCCTTGTCTCTTGTCCGCTCTCTTCTTCCCCCGAACCCTCCAGTTCCTTGAACTGTGTAAGACGCAGACAGCGGACCACCCTGAGGTGGTCCCGTTCCTCTCCAGTCGGCAGCAGCGTGCCCACTCTGTGTTTTTGGCCTCAGCCGAGTTCTGCAACATCCTCTCTCGGGTCCTGTCCCGGGCCCGGAGCCGGCCCGCCAAGCTCTACGTCTACATCAACGAGCTCTGCACCGTTCTCAAGGCCCACTCAGCCAAGAAGAAGCTGAACTTCGCTCCTGCTGCCACCGCCTCCAGTGAGCCCTCTGGGAGTAATACTTCTGCAGACCCGGCCTCGGAGCCCGGCAATGCTGAGGCCGCTGTCTCCGAGGCCCCAAGGACCCGTGGCTCCCGCCGGCAGATCCAGCGCCTAGAGCAGCTGCTGGCACTGTACGTGGCGGAGATCCGGAGGCTGCAGGAGAAGGAGCTGGATCTGTCAGAACTGGATGACCCAGACTCCACGTACCTGCAGGAGTCGCGCTTGAAGCGGAAGCTGATCCGCCTCTTTGGGCGACTGTGCGAGCTGAAAGACTGCTCTTCGCTGACCGGCCGGGTCATAGAGCAGCGCATCCCCTACCGCGGCACCCGCTACCCAGAGGTCAACAGGCGCATCGAGCGGCTCATCAACAAGCCAGGCCCCGACACCTTCCCCGACTACGGTGATGTGCTGCGGGCCGTAGAGAAGGCAGCTGTCCGGCACAGCCTCGGCCTCCCGCGCCAGCAGCTCCAGCTCATGGCCCAGGACGCCTTCCGAGATGTGGGCGTCAGGCTACAGGAGCGACGCCATCTCGACCTCATCTACAACTTCGGCTGCCACCTCACGGATGACTACAGGCCAGGTAGCGGGTTAGCGGGGTGCCCGTCGGAGGCAGAGGGGACCGCTCGCCCTCTCTGCCAGGGTGTGGGCTGAGTGCTCTGCTGTCATATCTTCCCATGTAGGCATTGACCCTGCACTGTCAGATCCTGCCTTGGCCCGGCGCCTTCGGGAAAACCGGACCTTGGCCTTGAGCCGCCTAGACGAGGTCATCTCCAAATACGCAATGATGCAAGACAGAAGTGAGGAAGGCGAGAGACAGAAGAGAAGAGCCCGCCTCCCCCAAGGCACCTCTTCCCAGCCTGCAGATTCCCCCACAGCCTCCTTGGATTCTGGTGAGGTGTGGAAGGGACAGCAGCCTTCAGAGAGACCTTGTCCTCCCCCTGCGCTGGCCGCTAGGGGTTCCAGGGTGATGGATGGGGGGGTACAGAGGGAATGCAAGAACCAAACCCCCTGAGGCCAGGGATTCCTTAGAGAAACTCCTTTGTCCTCCAGGGTCCCAGTGGAATGGCTTCCCAGGAGTGCCCTACTACCTCCAAAGCTGAGACAGATGATGAAGAAGATGAGGAAAGTGAGGAGGAGGAGGAAGAGGAGGAGGAGGAAGAGGAGGCCACAGATTCCGAAGAGGAGGAGGATCTGGAGCAGATGCAGGAAGGTCAGGGGGAAGATGAAGAGGAGGAGGAGGAGGAGGAGGAGGGAACAGGTATGTAAGCAGCGTGTCGCCCCGCTGTCAGTGCCTCCTGCGCGCGAGCCGCCCGTGGGAGACCTGGCCCTCGCCCAGCGGCGCTGTCTCCCGTTCTCACAGCAGCCGTCCCCTCTCCTTTTCCAGGTGAGGCTGGAGACAGGAGTCCCGGGCCTCCACCACAGGTCTCCACTGAAAAGAATCCGGAACCCGGCCGAGAGCTCGGCAGGTCTCCCAGGGAGCAGCACAACACAGGACTCAAAGCGCTAGCACCCTCACTGTTGGAAGAGCCCGCGGCCCGCCCCAGCGTGGGTGCGGAATGGAACGGGGAGCAGCTTGCGGAGGTGCCCCCGGAGGAAGAGAGCCCCGTGTCTCAGCTCTTTGAGCTGGAGATTGAAGCCCTGCCCCTGGATACCACGTCTTCCCCTGAGGAGACGGACGTTTCCTCTTCCAGGAGGCACGCGGAGGAGCCCGTCACCACTGTCTTGGAGAACGGGGCAGCCGCGGTCACCTCCACCTCCTTCAATGGAGGTGTTTCTCCCCATGCCTGGGGAGGTGCCAGCCCCCCCTGTAAGAAGTCTCGGAAGGAGAACCGGCAGATAGCGTCCGGGCCTTTAGGAAACAGGTAACAGTGCCGGCGGGGGAAGAGGGAAGGAGCCAGAGGGATGCCAAGGGGCTCTCAGGCTGGACTCCCTCCAGCTCCAGCCCCGTGCCCCACTGTGAATTTGTTTCCGTACCCAGCTGCGTGGACCGGGAACGAGCCGTGCCTGAGAAGAACGGGAGGAGGAGCCGGCCCCTGCCCAGCCCACCCTCCCCGCTGGCTTCCACGGCCTCAGCCGCGGACTCCTCCACGAGGGTGGACTCTCCCAGCCATGGCCTGGTGACCAGCTCCCTCTGCAGCCCGTCGCCAGCCCGGCTGTCCCAAACCCTGCCGGCACAGCCTGCCCGGGCCAGCACTTACAAGGTAAGGGCGAGGCCCGCTGGTTGTCCCGCCCGCTCGAGCTCCCCGGGCGCGCGCCCTGACTGTGCCTCTGGTTCTCCGCAGACGAGCGTGGCCACGCAGTGCGACCCCGAGGAGATCATTGTGCTCTCGGACTCGGATTAGCTGCCCCGTCCTGCCTCCGTTCGTTCCGGGATGACAGTGGAGGGGGACGGGGGCGGGGGACTGAGTGACCCCTTCTGGTGGTTTCTTTTAAAAAATAAGCTTAAGTTTTACACAGAAACGTTAAAAACAATAAAATGCTTTTCTTACTGTATCCTGCCTGTTCCTTGTCTGCCGCTGAGGGCCGAGCTCCGGACTCGGATCTGCCCTTTCCTAGCCTGGCCCCTACACCGCTCTCCTGATGCCCCGGGTCCCCGGTGTCCGCTACCGAGAACTTTTTAAAAAAAAATGTGCTTCGGCCTCCTAACGCGCTTTACTTTCTCACTCCTAGCGGTAGGAGTAAAAGGCCAATCAGGGCCCGACTCGAGGTTATCTGGCCAATCCAGGCCCGGAGGAAGGGGGCGGGGCTTCGAGGGTCTGTCAGCGCTGGGAAGAGGACTCTCGGATCTCGCAGACCTGCTAATGGACACGGCTCGGAGGCGGGGCCTGGGGAGCGGCGGCCAGGACTCGTCGCCAATGGGAAAAGGCAGGCTGGTAAAATTAAAGGGGAAGGAAGACTTCGGCCGAAACAAGTTCCGAGTCTCCGGCGGAGGAGGGGGCCTGACACCTTTAAGGTGGGATGAGGCCACGGCTCTTTAAAGGAAAAGCAGCCGAGTCGGCCGAGTATTGCCCAGCGGCACGGGCGGGGTGCTTGTCTGTGCCTTTAAAGTCGGAGGGACGGGAGGCGGAGCGGAGGCGGAGGGCGGAGGGAGTCGGCGCAAGATGGCGGCGGGAGGGGCCCAGGCTGCAGCTCTGGCCGCCGAGTGAGGGGCGGGGGGGGCCCGGGGGCGCGCGGCCCGGTAAGCGGGGACGCGCGGGGTTGGGGGGCGCCTTCCGGGTGGGAGAGGAGGCCGAGGTAGCGCTTGGGGCGGAGCAGGCGGGGGCGGGGTCCGGCGGGGGCGGGGGTAGACAAGGGGCGGGGTCGAAGGGATCAAGGGGGGCGGAGCGCAAGGCAGGTTCAAAGGGGGCGTGGTTATAGGTGAGCTGGGGCGGAAGGGGCGTGGCCTCGGGAACTGGGGGGCAAGGGGAGATGGAGGTGGTGTTCTGTGGGGAGGCAGACGTGCCTTCTGTCGAAAAGGAAAGCACCAGACACCCAAAAGGTGGATTTTGGGAAGTCAGGCTCCCAGGGTTACAGGGTCTAGTTCCAAGAGAAGGCACCCCACTCCCTAGGAGCACCGTATTTCCCTAACCTCCCAGGAAAGGGCCCTGAATTCGGAGTCAGGACACCTGCATTTGCTGGCAGTGGCACTTGCTGGCTGTGTGACCTTGAACGATCTCTTAATCATTCGGAGGCTCAGTTTCCTCATCCACCAAATGGGTTGAGAGGCATATCTGCCTGAGTTGTGGGGAGTTACTCAGGTGACCAGTGTGAACATGTTTCTAAACGGTGAAGGGCTGTGTCGTTTTAAGGTCTTAGCGCTCTTCTCTCTTTTTTCTCCCCAGAGACCCCCCCGGCCGCCCTTCTCCTTCCTTTGTTCCTGTGGCTGGGGGGGGTATCCCCTCCCACCACAACATGGAGCCATCTCCTCTCTCCCCCAGCGGGGCCGCACTCCCCCTGCCTCTGTCGCTGGCTCCACCCCCGCTGCCCCTGCCTGCAGCCGCGGTGGTACATGTGTCCTTCCCCGAGGTGACCAGTGCCCTCCTGGAGTCCCTCAATCAGCAGCGGCTGCAGGGCCAGCTCTGTGACGTGTCCATCCGAGTGCAGGGCCGGGAGTTCCGGGCTCATCGGGCTGTCCTGGCCGCCTCCTCCCCTTACTTCCATGACCAGGTCCTACTCAAGGGCATGACCTCCATCTCACTACCCAGTGTCATGGACCCCGGCGCCTTTGAGACTGTCTTGGCCTCCGCGTACACTGGCCGCCTCAGCATGGCTGCTGCTGACATTGTCAACTTCCTCACGGTGGGCTCCGTGCTCCAGATGTGGCACATTGTGGACAAGTGCACTGAACTCCTCCGAGAAGGCCGGGCCTCTGCCAGCACCACCACCGTCACTACTGCTGCAGCCACCTCTGTCACTGTCCCTGGTGCCGGCGCCCCATCAGGGAGCGGAGGCACCTTGGCCCCCACCTCCGTGGGCTCCGGGCGCTCCCATGCCTCCAGCCGGGCCAGTGAAAATCAGTCTCCCAGCAGCAGCAACTACTTCAGCCCCCGGGAGTCCGCTGATTTCTCGTCTTCCTCCCAAGAGGCATTCACGGCTTCTGCCGTGGGCAATGGGGAGCGGCGAGGAGGCGGCCCTGTATTCCCAGCCCCCGTGGTTGGCAGTGGGGGAGCCAGCTCTGGGAAGCTGCTGTTGGAGGCAGACGAGCTGTGTGATGATGGCGGAGATGGGAGGGGTGCGGTGGTCCCTGGGGCTGGGCTCCGGCGACCCGCTTACACCCCTCCCAGCATCGTGCCGCAGAAACACTGGGTCTATGTGAAGCGGGGTGGGATCTGCCCAGCACCAGCACCCCTTGTTCCCCAAGACCCAGACCTAGAGGAGGAGGAGGAGGAAGATCTGGTGTTGACCTGTGAGGATGATGAAGATGAGGAGCTGGGGGCTAGCTCTGGGGTCCCATCAGGGGGAGGGCCTGAGGCCACCCTCAGCATAAGCGATGTCCGGACTCTGACGGAGCCACCGGACAAGGGGGAGGAGCAGGTCAACTTCTGTGAGTCCTCCAATGACTTTGGCCCCTATGAGGGTGGGGGTCCTGGGGCCGGGCTTGACGACTCAGGGGGGCCGACCCCCTCCTCCTACGTCCCCTCCCACCCCCCAAGAGCCCTCCTTCCCTTGGACATGCAGGGCAACCAGATCCTGGTTTTCCCGTCATCTTCGTCCTCCTCCTCCTCCTCCTCTCAGGCTCCAGGCCAGCCACCAGGAAGCCAAGGGGAACACGGGCCGACAACGCTGGGGGGCACGTCCTCCGCGGGGAGCCTGGGCGTGGCCAGCACCCCCGGGGGGACTGGCAGTGGGGACGGAAACAAGATCTTTCTGTGCCACTGTGGAAAAGCTTTCTCCCACAAGAGCATGCGGGACCGGCACGTGAACATGCACCTCAACCTGCGGCCCTTTGACTGCCCTGTGTGCAACAAAAAGTTCAAGATGAAACACCACCTGACCGAGCACATGAAGACCCACACAGGCCTCAAGCCCTACGAGTGCGGTGTCTGCGCCAAGAAGTTCATGTGGCGAGACAGCTTCATGCGCCACCGGGGACACTGTGAGCGCCGGCACCGCATGGGTGGGGGTGGGGCCGGACCCGGACCTGGACCCGGACCAGGACCAGGGGGGCCCACCGCACCAGCCCTGCCGCCCAAAAGAGAGTCCCCTGGAGCTGGTGGGGGCAGCGGCGATGAGGCGGGTGGGGCCACACCCCCGTCCAGCCAACGCGGCTGGTCCCCCGCCAGTGTCCCCAAGGTGGAGATGGGCTTCAGTGGGGGTGGAGCAGCAAACTGAAGGGGCAGGCTCCTTGGAGTAGCTTCAGAAGAGAGAACAGGAGCGCCGCCATGGCCCCTGGGTGGTTTCCCACCACCCTTACTGTCTTCCTTGTATCTCTACGGACTTGTACATATGCTGGAGGGGGAACCACGGTGCCTCCCAAGGTATCCCTGGAGCTAAGCCCTTCCTTCCCCTCTGATGGGTACACCCAAGCCCCAGCTCCGCAGAGCAAGGCGCACATTGTGGTGGGGAGGGGAGGGCAGGGGTTCGGCATCCTGGAGTCAAGGGTTAAGGGTCAGGTGATTGTAGTCTGTGCCTGAAGTCTGTGTTTGTGTCGTCGTGGAGACCAGGCCTTTGACCCCCACCCTTGTCCTAGAACCTACCTTCTGTGGCAGGAAGCATCCCTCATTTCTGTCCTGTCTCAGCCCGTGGGGATCCCCAACTCCGTTCTCATGGGGTGTGGGTGGAGGGCGAGGGAGTGAGTCTTAGGAGTACAAGGTTTTAATTTTTTTAAACAATAATTAAAATATTTATTGGTCATTTCACTTGGCTTCCGGACCGCCCCTATGTGTTTGCTGGTTACCCAGCAGAGGTAGAGGAAAGCTAGGATAATGGTTCTGGGGGAACGGGAGGGGAGGGGCGGGCAGGTGCGGGGAGGTTCTCTGAGAGGGAGCCTAGGTTCCGGGAGGGTTCCAACTTGGCGCTGCTGGGTGGTCCAGGAGGGCGCGGCAGGGCCGAGGTGCCCACCTGAACTGGGGAGGATGCTCCTCGGTCCCTACGTGGCCAGTGCGGGAGGCACCCGCTGCCCACGCACGCGCCCTCACCTAACCGAGCGGGGATTTCCTCCGTCCGGTTCTGCTGGCTTTCGGAGGAAAGTGAAAGTGAAAGAGGGAACTGGAACAAGAGGCTTCGGGGCTGAGAAGACTGAGGAGAGCGCAGCGCCATGAAGCCCCTGTCCCTGCTCGTCGCCGTGGCTTTGGGTGAGCGACCCCCGCGACTCCTCGCCCGGAGCTGCGAGATGGAAATGGAGGGAGGCGGTTGCATCCCGCGCCAGGGTGAAGGGTGGGTCACCCGACGTCCCGGCCGCCCCCCTCACTCGCGCCGCTCTCCCCCAGGCCTGGTGACCCGCGTCTCGGCTGGACCCGCGGTGATCGAGTGCTGGTTCGTGGAGGACGCGCGCGGGGGCGGCCTGAACAAGAGGCCCGCGGCACTGCTGCTGCGCCAGGGACCCGGGGGACCGCCGCCCCGGCCGGACCTCGACCCTGAGCTCTACCTCAGCGTGCACGGTGAGTCTTCTGGGACTCGCCCTCCCCTCTGCCGCCCCACCTGAAGCCCCTGCCCTTTGGATAACCTCAGTTTCCCCCTCGGTGACTGAAGCTGGCCCAGCCTCACCTCACTACCGGTAGTCCGTGCATTTGAAATTCCCCGAACGCTGCCCTTCCAGCCCCTTTCCCCGCCGTGCGCCTACAACTGCAACTCCCCTCCTGGGCTCTCGCAGATCCCGCGGGCGCCCTGCAAGGCGCCTTCAGGCGGTATCCCCGAGACGCCCCTGCGCCCCACTGCGAGATGACCCGCTTCGTCCCGCTCCCGGCCTCCGCCAAGTGGGCCAGCCGCCTGACCCCGGAGCAGGACTGCCCGCGGGCCCTGGACGGGGCTTGGCTGATGGTCAGCGTGTCCAGCCCGGTCCTCAGCCTCTCCAGCCTCCTGCGACCTCAGCCGGAGCCTCAGCCGGAGCCGGCTCTCATCACCATGGCAACAGGTAGCGGGGTGGAGGGAGGTGGAGATGGGCGGGTGACGGCTGCGGGTCCCGATCGGCCGGCGACTCGCAGTGCGGACCAGGTTCAGTTTCCGCTTTTGTAAAGCGGAGTGGGTCGGCCTGAGCTACTCTACCTCTACCGCGCCTGCCACCCAGCAGAAGAGGGCGGGAACCGCGGCGGGGCGGGGCTTCCGCCCCGGGGCCTCAGCCCTGCGAGGTGATGGGGCAGGGAGGGGCTCGGGAGCGGAACTTCTGTCTTCGCTTCTCCCCGAGCTGTGCCTTGCCAAGCACCCTCGCCTTTGGCAGTTCACCTGTTTCAAAATCCAGCCTCCGAGCCTCGCCCGTGCCCACCCCGCGCGCGGCGGCCGCCTCCCTCAGGCGCACGGGCCTGCGGTGGCTCGGCTCGCCCGAAAGAGGGCGCTAGCGGGCCGTGGGGCCGCGGCGAGAACGGCGGAGCCCGCTCAGTGCGCAGGCCCAGGCGGTTCGGGTGCCCCCGGGGCCCTGGGGCGAGCCTGTCGCGGGGCTCGGCCGGGGTGCGGAGTCGGGGGCTGGTTTCTGCCTGGGCTGCCGGGGAGCGTTCCCGCTCCGTAGTCGGGGCCAGGGTAGCGGCCTGGCCTCCCTCAATCTCGTTTTAGTTAACAGCCCAGCCCGTAGACAGGTGGATCACAGCCGAGCCCCTGCACCCCGCTTCCGCCGTGCTCTCCTCTCTGCGGGTCACCCGCAGGACCCGGGGAACGGACGGCCCCCAGCCCGAGCCCCCAGTTCTGCCCAGGGCTGCGCTCTTAGCCCCAGCGCCTCCTGAGGCGGGGCGGCACTGGGGAGGGGTGTGTCGGAGGGCTGCGGGCTTCCCGGAGGTGGGGGGCGAAGGCGCTTCCAACTGTGAAATGTGGATGCTACTTCCCAGCTGCCTTCCTGTTGTTGTGACTCTCAGGGGAGGCAGTGTGTTAATTTATTCACTGAGTCAATAAACATGTATTAGCACCAAGAATAAACTGGGGCTCAGTAATTCGCAGTCCAGGCTGCAAATAAGAATCTTCCTGAAAGCTAAAGAATACCCACACCAGTGGGTATACTCTCTCCAGGCCAATTACCAGACTCTGTTGGGTGGCCTGGAGCACTATTTATTTTTCAGTTTTATAAAACTCACCAGAATGTTATGCTTGAAGAATACAGCATATGAAATCACAAGAAGGTCCAAATGAAGTCACTAGGCTTCAAACGTATAATACATTATCAGATGCAGCAAAATATTAATTAACCTGAATTCCGCATCAGAAAGAAAACAGGTGTGGAAAATAGCTAAGTTTACTTGAGAAACAGATGTACTGAAAATAGAAAGTGTAAGGATGTGACAGTACAAATTAGAAAAGCCAACACTTACTAACTTATTAACTAACCTTTTGGTACTTAAACGTTTTATTTTTATTTATTTTTTTAAAGAAAATTTATTTATTGGGGCCAGCGCTGTGGTGCAGTAGGTTAAAGCCCTGGCCTGAAGCGCCAGCATCCCATATGGGCACTGGTTCTAGTCCCAGCTGCTCCTCTTCCAGTCTGGCTCTCTGCTGTGGCCTGGGAAAGCAGTAGAAGATGGCCCTCGTCCTTGGGCCCCTGCACTTACGTGGGAGACCTGGAGGAGGCTCCTGGCTTCAGATTGGTGTGGCTCTGGCCGTTGCGGCCATTGTGGAGTGAACCAGTGATGGAAGACCTCTCTCTCTCTCTCTACTTTTCTCTGTAACTCTGTCTTTCAAATAAATAAAATAGATCTTTCGATTTTTAATAAATCTTTATTTTGCAGAGGCAAAAAGACAGAAGAGATCTTCTGGCCCCTAAACTTTTTTTAAAAGACAATTCCTTCTACCTTATCCAAATGCACTTCGTGTGTATGACATCCATGAAGTGACTTCAACTTAAAACATTCAGCAAAATCAATATTTTTGTTATACAGGAACATGTCCTTAATAAATGTACAAGATTTTCCTTTTTCTAAAACTGTGAAAATATGATCATTAAGAAATTTAATATTTTACTTATTTAGCCTTCCAATTAAAATTGGAATTCTGGCGGTCATTATCTATTCTGGGGCTTGGGAATATAGAAATTTAAATGATTTGGCAATTGACAGAAATTCAATTACTTCATACTAGCTTTTTTTAAAAAGAAATTATTTATTTATTTGAAACTCAGAGTTACACAGAGATAGAAGGGGAGGAAGAGAGAGAGGTCTTCCATCTGCTGGTTCTCTCCCCAATTGGCCGCAATGTCTGGAGCTGCGCCAATCTAAAGCAAAGAGCCAGGAGCTTCTTCTGGGTCTCCCATGCGGGTGCAGGGGCCCAAGGACTTGGGCCATCTTCTACTGCTTTCCCAGGCCACAGCAGAGAGCTGGATTGGAAGAAGAGCAGCCAGGACTAGAACCGGCGCCCATATGGGATGCCGGCACTGGAGGTGTCGGCTTTACCCGCTATGCCACAGTGCTGGCCCCTACTTCAAACTATCTTAAGTGGCTTTTCCTTTCTGGTTCCAAAATACAAACAATATGCCTTTCTTCAACACACTGGATTCCGATAATCACTGCCACACTTCATTGGAATCAAATTAAATCTCCCTTTTAACGAGCAGGTTAAACTGTTTTTCATTTAGGGCTGATCAGTGATGACAGGCTTTCCTGAAACCAATCTCAAAGTATCACTCAATTATGCTGAAGGAGACAATGATGCCATTTCAAAAGGTAGCATTGGACTATCTAGGCCATCTGGTCAAGAAAATGAAAATATAATGTTAAAAACAATAAGTAAACTGTAAGTTAAGTTAAAAAACAAAACCCTCTTTCATAGTAAGCATGCTCCTTAACTTTTATTTCTTTCCCCTGGCAAAGCTTTGACTATTAATGAACCTCAGTTAAACCTCAGAACCCAAGCAATTGTTTCACAAGCCCTGGAGTACTTTCTTTCTTTCCTTTTTTGGACAGGCAGAGTGGACAGTGAGAGAGACAGAGAGAAAGGTCTTCCTTTGCCGTTGGTTCACCCTCCAATGGCCGCCGTGGCCGGCGCACCACACTGATCCGATGGCAGGAGCCAGGAGCCAGGTGCTTTTCCTGGTCTCCCATGGGGTGCAGGGCCCAAGGACTTGGGCCATCCTCCACTGCACTCCCGGGCCACAGCAGAGAGCTGGCCTGGAAGAGGGGCAACCGGGACAGAATCCGGCGCCCCAACCGGGACTAGAACCCAGTGTGCCGGCGCCGCAAGGCGGAGGATTAGCCTAGTGAGCCGCAGCGCCAGCCAGTCCTGGGGTACTTTCAAGGGTTGAAGAGATGATCAGGTAGATGTACACCTGCTCTAAAGGGCGTCTGGGCAGCGTGAGGGGCAGACCAGCTCATGCCAATGCAGGAAGTGCAGGTGGGGTCCCTGATGGTTCACCAGGCAGGAGGATGGTCCGCAGCTCACAAAGCAGGCCAAAACCAAGGACCTGTGTTCTGTCTTTTCAAGATTTTCTGCTTGATAAGGGATTTCAGGAAATGGATGCTGTTGTTTTGTGTGACATTTCTCCAATGCTGAGATCATTGATAATCTTGCTAATATACATTTATACATTTTTAAAAATTTCTTTCTTTATTTGAAAGACAGGAAGAGAGAGAGAGAGTGAGTAATCTTCCATCTGCTGGTTCACTCCCCCAGATGGCCACAATCCCAGGCTGGGCCAGGCCCAAGCCAGGAACCAGGAACTTCTTCCAGGTCTCCCACCTGGGTGCAGGGGCCCAAGCACTTGGGCCATCTTCCACTGCATTCTCAGGCCGGAAGCAGGGAGCTGGATCAGAAGAGGAACAGCTGGGACACGAACCGGTGCCCATATGAGATGCCGGCACTGTAGGCAGAGGCTTTACCTGCCAAGCCACAGTGCTGGCCCCAATACATTCTTCCTTACTAAGTAGCTTAGCGTGTTTGTTGACAAATCTCCTTTCTCAACATACTTTGTGTGCATGCTGTTTAGTTTTCACCATTCGAAAACATTGCTATCAAAATCTCAAATTTACAAAAGTAGGGATAGGATAATGGAGCCCTCTGTGTTTACCCTGCCCGCTTGTGTAGCTATTACATTTTACCAAAATCTTCACTTATCCTACCTCTCCTCCATGTTTTTTTCAAAAATCATTTTAAAGCACATCCCAGGCATCCTATTATTTTACTCATAAATTCTCAGTAAGCATCCCTGAGGATAATTTGTGGGAGGCAGGGCTAAAATTGCTTCCAATAACCCTGTTAGCTTAGGGGTTAAACTTTAAACATCTTCCTGTGGATCTTTTCCACCAGTTCAATAGGTTTTTGGATTTTGAGAAACTAATTGAAATTTCAGACCTTCTTTCTTTTCTCTACTGAACTAAGACAATCTGATGAAGTTGAGAAAACTTTTTTAAAAGATTTATTTATTTGTTTGAAAGGCAGAGAGTTTCAGAGAGAGAGAGAGAGAGAGAGACAGACAGACAGACAGACAGACAGAGAGATCTTACATCTGCTGGTTCACTCCCCAAATGGTCACAATGGCCAGAGCTGCCGATCTGAAGCCAGGAGCCAGGAGCTTCTTCCAGGTCTCCCACATGGGGGCAGCGGCCCAAGCACTTGGGCCATCCTCCACTGCTTTTGAAGGCGGGTTGGCAGAGAGCTGGATCGGAAGTGAAGTAGCTGAGACTTGAACTGGTGCCCACATGGGATGCTGATGTCCCAGGCAGATTTACCCATGATGCCACAGCCGGCCCTGAGAAAACTTTATAGGCCTCAGCAGCTGGGATTAAAAAATAACGAGAAAAAAATGACTTCTATGTATAGAACCTCGTCACTTGTAGGAGGGAACAGCAGTGGCACTGAGCTTGAAGGACATGGAATATGTGGATGTTAGAAAACTGGAAAGACCCGGCGCCGTGGCTCAATAGGCTAATCCTCCACCTTGCGGCGCCGGCACACTGGGTTCTAGTCCCGGTTGGGGCGCCGGATTCTGTCCCGGTTGCCCCTCTTCCAGGCCAGCTCTCTGCTATGGCCAGGGAGTGCAGTGGAGGATGGCCCAGGTGCTTGGGCCCTGCACCCCATGGGAGACCAGGAAAAGCACCTGGATCCTGGCTCCTGCCATCGGATCAGCGCAGTGCGCCGGCTGCAGCGGCGGCCATTGGAGGGTGAACCAACGGCAAAGGAAGACCTTTCTCTCTCTGTCTCTCTCTCTCACTGTCCACTCTGCCTGTCAAAAATAAAAAAAAAATAAAAAATAAAAAAAATAAGAAAACTGGAAAGACGTGGGAAATGGATGGAATTGTATGACCTAGGCAGAGCGGTGCTCAGGGATTCAAGTTGCTTGTTTCTTTGAAAGCTAAGCCACAACGCCAGCCCATGATTCAAGTTTCTTTGGGGTACAAGAGAGGGACTCTATGTGGCTGGTTCTTAGGGCATAGGGGAAATATGAAGAGATGATTAGGGGCTGGATTTTCAAATATGTTGAAAGTGAGAGGGGCCAGTGCCATGGCGCAGTAGGTTAATCTTCCACCTGCAGCGCCAGCATCCCATATGGGCGCTGGTTCTAGTCCTGGCTGCTCCACTTCTGATCCAGCTCTCTGCTGTGGCCTGGGAAAGCAGTAGAAGATGGTCCAAGTCCTTGGGTCTCTGCACCCACATAGGAGACCGGGAAAAAGCACCTGGCTCCTGGCCTCAGATCGGCACAGCTCCGGCCGTTGTGGCCATTTGGGGAGTGAACCAACAGAAGGAAGACCTTTCTCTCTGTCTCTCCCTCTCACTGTCTGTAATTCTACCTCTCAAATAAATAAATAAATAAAATCTTTAAAAAAAAGTGAGGCTTTATTCTGCAGATGACAGTGAATGTCAGAAGTTGGGTGTATTTTGGGGGAGGAGAAACATTATTCTAAAAAGCCTATTCTTTTGATTCTTATAAAAGGTAGGTGAGGGGGCTGGTGTTTTGGCACAGTTGGTGAAGCCACTGCTTGTTGTGTTGCCAGCAGCCCATGTGGGCATGGGTTCAAGTCCTGGCTGCTCTGCTTCCAACCCAGCTTCCTGCTAATTCACCTGGGAAAGCAGCAGATGATGGCCCAAGTGCTTGGGCCCCTGTACTCACAAGGGAGACATAGATGAAGCTCCTGACTCCTGGTTTTGGCCTGCCCAGCCTCAGCTGTTGTGGCCATCTGAAGAGTGAACCAGCAGATGGAAGATCTCTCTCTCTCTCTCTCTCTCTGTAACTTTTTAAATAAATAAAAATCTTTAAAAGAAAAAAAGTAGGCAAGGATCAGATCATTGAACTAGTAAGCAGAATATAGGTCAAGAGATTTTCCCAAGATACCTAGCAAGCCCATGATGGTAATGAGAACAGCAAGAGCTAACATCATCAAGCATATTCTAGATACCAGACCCTGTTCTAAGCAGTTCTCTGCACAGTCTCTTTTATTCTGCTTCATAATCGTCAGACATGGGTATTAATGCTATCCCCAGATTGCAGATGAAGAAATCTGAGGCACAGAGCAGTTAGGTAACTTATCCAAGGACACACAGTTTGTAAAAATCAGGGCTAGAAATTGAACTGTGTCGTTAGCTGCTGACTTCCCAGGTAGCTTGGTTTTAAACAGGCCAGGGACCTGATCGGACTTGTAGCCACACGTTTGACTTCCACGTGAAGGAGGAGTTGAAGGGGAGAGAGACTGAGGATAAGGCAGACAAAAGAGGAAGCTGTTGTCATTTTCCAAAAATATGTTGATGAGAACCTGAGTGAGTACCGGATGTGAGATCTGTTAGGGTCTGGTGGAGACAGCACACAATGTGTGATTTCTGGGAACCCGAGGCCAGGGACTTCTGTCTTGCTCACTGTTCTCTACTTCTACATGATTATATCCTGAACATCCGTGGTGCTTAATAAATACTTATTGAATGAGCAAATGAGAGGAGGTCTGAGTGCCTCCAAGTGTTTGCCCTTCGTGTCTGGGGGCTGATGGTGCATTCTTCACAGCCAGGAAAGGTGGGCGTAGGGGCAGCGTGGGCGTGTTGGAGAGATGTGATGTGTTGGAGCCCATGAAGTGTGCCTGGCAGACAGTTAAGTGTGAGCAAAACGAGCAGCAGACGTAGTGCATTTCAGGCTCTGTGGTAAGCACCTGCCATGGATTGAATCCCAAAGCAGGAAGTTACTGGATTCGGGTAGCAAGAGAAGTTAAGTGATCTACTCCTCACAAGGACCCCAGGAGGTAACTAATATTCTTATCATAACTATTTTAGAGATTAAGCTGAGCCATGGAAAAGGGACCCAAGACTATACAATTAAGCTGCTGAGTTTGTTTTGTTGTTGTTGTTGATTTATTTATTTAAAAGAGAGAGAGAGAGTGAGCGCTTCCATCTGCTTGTTTACTCTTCGGATGGCCACAACAGCCAGGGTTGGGCCAGGCCAAACTCAGGAGCCTGGAACTCTCCCACGTGGGTGCAGGGGCCCAAGTACTTGGCTCATCATCCGCTGCCTTCCCAGGTGAGAAAGTGAGAGAGCTGGATTGGCAGTGGAGCAGCTGGCACTTGAACAAGTCTGGAGTGTCGGTGTTGGGTGTCGCAAGCAGTAGCTCAACTTGCTGTGCTGCAGTGCTGGCCCCTAGAGTTGTTTTGAACGAAGACAGCGAGGCTCCAGGCCCTTAACCATTGCGCTACACTGCTTCAGGAGACAAAGGTGTCTGTGCAAAAGCCAGACTTCTGGAGTCAGTAAATGTTCTATACAGTAGCAGAAGGGTCGACAGCCGTAGCTTCATCGGGAACCGGGGAAGCCCTGGCTTTTCACGGGTGGTGCCTGAAGACTGGGTTGGTACAGATGGTGTCAGAAATGCCCTCAGATGTCACTGGCCCCAGAACCTGAGTGGGCCGTGTCTTCAGAGCCGGCTTCCAGGCCTGCACCCGCTCACCATCCCTGGGCACCCTTACACTAGAAAGGTCTCACCCTCAGCCACACCGGCTCCCACCCAGTCCCAGGGCAAAGGAGACCTGTAGGGAGGCCTGGCAGAGATGAGTATCAGAAAAGTTGTCCTCAGGGGTGGGAAAACTGGAATTCAGGGCTCCCTCTAACTCCACTTCTCTCCCTCTCCTTCTCTCCCTCATGCCCACCCCCCTCCTGTCCTTCCCAGCGGTACTGACCGTCCTCACCCACACCCCTGCCCCTCGAGTCCGTCTGGGACGAGACGCCATGCTGGACTTGAGCTTCGCCTACATGCCCCCAACCCCTGCAGCTGCTACCTCGCTGGCCCCAGGCCCTCCTCCCTTTGGACTCGAGTGGCGACGCCAGCACCTGGGTAAGGGGCACCTGCTCCTGGCTGCAACTCCTGGGCTGAATGGGCAGATGCCAGCTGCCCAGGAGGGGGCGGTGGCATTCGCTGCTTGGGACGATGATGAGCCCTCAGGCCCATGGACCGGAAATGGGACCTTCTGGCTGCCTGCAGTGCGGCCCTTTCAGGAGGGCACCTACCTGGCCACCGTACACCTGCCATACCTTCAAGGGCAGGTCACCCTGGAGCTTGCTGTGCACAGTGAGTTGGGGATGAAAGTCGCCAAGGGTAGAGGGTGGGACCTGGGGTTAGGGGGTACCCTGGGAGGGATGGGGATGCTGAAGAAGTAGTCAGGCAAGGGAAGCCGGTGGACGATCGGTGGCCACCTGAGGAGCTACGGGACAAAGGCAGGAAGGTGAAGTGAGGGTCCCTGAAAATTGGGGGGAGGGTTAAACGGGATTCCCGTGAAGCACCAATGGGGAGATAGCGGGGGTCCCCATGGCAGAAGAGAAAACCTGGCTAGAGCCCCGTATGGAGGCAGCTAGGGGAGGCGGGAAAACCCAGGACCTCAGAGGGAGAACGTTGTGGGTCCACTCTCTCATGCTCCGTTCCTACTCTGCCCAGAGCCCCCCACGGTGTCCCTGAAGCCCGCTCCCGTCGTGTGGGCTGCCCCCGGGGAGGCACCCCCGGAGTTGCTCTGCCTCGTGTCCCACTTCTACCCTTCCGAGGACCTGGAGGTGGAGTGGGAGCTCCGGGGCGGCGCCGAGGGCGGCTCGCGGAAGGTCGGGGGGCAGAGCTGGCTCTCCGCCCTGCGCCACCATTCCGACGGCTCCGTCAGCCTCTCCGCGCACCTGCGGCCGCCTCCGGTCAGCGCCGAGCAGCACGGGGCGCGCTACGCCTGCCGCGTCCTCCACCCCAGCCTGCCTGCCTCGGGGCGCAGCGCCGAGGTCACCCTGGAGGTGGCAGGTGAGTGGGGGGGCTCTGGGGAGCCTGGGCCAGCGGCGGGGACAACTCGGAGCTCACGAGCCCCTTCCGCGTGCCAGGTCTCTCGGGGCCCTCGCTGGAGGACAGCGTCGGCCTTTTCCTGTCTGCTTTCTTCCTCCTCGGACTCATCAAGGCGCTGGGCTGGGTCGGTGAGTGTGGTTCTCAGGCGGTGGGCATTCCCCCCACCCTGCCCCGCGAGCACTCCTACAGCGTTCCTTCTCATTCTTTCCCCACAGCTGCCTGCCGGTCCACTCGTCCGGGTTCAGAGGAGAAGGTAACCGCACTCAGCCTCCCCCTGTCTTTCTCTCATTGTACCCTCCTCCCCAGCTGTCACCGCAGGAGAGGGGGCCCAGACCAGGAATTCACGGAGCTGGGTTAACTGCCTGCAGGCCCCGTGACCACGCTGCTGAGGCTACAGCTGTGTCCTTGGCTGTGGGGATTGAGTTTATTTAAGCTGTGCTGTCCAATAGGAATAGAACGTATACATTTATATATGTAAATTTAAACAATGTGGTTAAACAGGCACAATTAATGGAACAAGACACTTTAAGTAATATATCCACATACTGCCATTTTACATGTAGACAATCAGTCTTGTTTGCATTCTAAGTCTTCACAAACAAGTGTTCATTCTAGATGGTCAGCACATCTCCTTGGGGACTGGCTGCCCTCCACACGGGGGTGGGGCCTTTGGAGACTCAGTGCCGGGCTGGCAGGCAGTCAGCAAAGCCCCATGCTTCTCCCACAGAGGTTCACGTTTGTGGATGGGCCCCTCAGCCTACCTCCTTAAGTCCCCCAATTCCTTACCCCCTTCTTGCTTCTCTTCCAGAAAACCCAGTGAGGGCACCCGCCACCACCACGCGGACGCCTCCATCATCTCTGGCCCGAGCTACTGCAGTGGCCCCGCAAAATATTACCGCACCATCTGCTCCTACTCCCTCGTTTCCCGCCACTGAGTGGCTTTTCTAAAAGACACAAATCACAGGGCATTCATCTTCGAACTCTAGGGCAATGGTTCTCACAGTTTTTGGTCTCAGGACCTCTTAGAAATCATCAAGGACCTCAGAGAGCTGTGTGCATGACGAGTAGCGCTATTTACCGTATTTAAAGCTATTTACCGTATTTAAATGACACGCACACGTCCCATTTGCTGTGAGGGGGACGGTGTGGCTTCACATCAGGTGGCTTTCTGGGCAGCGCCACCGCACACTCCCTGAAAATGATGCTGGACACGATGTTGGCGCGATCCGCTCTTGATTCTACATACCCCCCCCCCCCCAGAACTAGACTCGGGGGCCTCGGGGACAGAGACCACACTTGAAGAACCAGGGCTCTAGGGCCAGATCCATTCTTCTGGCTCCTGCCAACGTGTCCCCTCGCGCGGGAGCCCCCAGCCTCCTCCCGGCGCCCCTTCCACAGGACGGTTCTCCTTTCCCCCGGTGAGCTCAACGCCGCCCGCCGGGCCCGGGCTCGGGCCCCAGCGCTCTGCCCCCTCTGCTGGTCACCCCTCACGCTCCCTGCGCTCCAGGCCGGGTCAGCCTCCTCGTCCTCCCGGGCTGGGGGCTTCTCCAGGGCAGGCAGCGGCCCGGCGACGCCCACCAGAGGGCGCTCCTCTAAAAGCTGCTGATGCTGGAGGACGGGAGCGGCGACCGCGCGGCTTAGGGACTCTGAGGGGCGGGGGTCGGGTCTAATCGTGTGGCAATAAAGTTGTCTTCCGGTACTTCCAACTGGATCTCATTCTGCCCCAATGAACCTTCCAGTCACATCGGGCCCCGATCTCCCAAAGGGGCCCAGAGCATCCACCACCCAGGCGAAACAGTTTGAGTGCTCGCCACAGGTCGCCAAGGAGCCGACTCCCCGCGGGAGCGAGACGACGCCGCGCGCCAGCGGAGGTCCGGGCCCCGAGCACCGGAAACCCCGGAGCCCCGAACCTGGGACCGGAAGTGGCGGCTTCCTGTCCCGCCTCCTCACAAGAGGGCGGGAACTGGGGGCTCTTCGGAAAACCCGGAGTGGATTTCGGTCCGCTGCCAGGCTTGGTTGCAATGGGGAGTGTGGCCCGGGGGTAGGAGCCCGGGGTCTTTCCCCGCCTAGAATGCTTGCCGCGGGAGATTTAGCCTCGCTCTTGTGGAGAAGGCATTGTTTAATTCTGCATCTGTCCTCCCCGGGGTCTAGAGACTGGAATCTTTAGTCCCACTCAGTGCGCGGCGACGTGGGCTCCGGAATCCCCGAGTGGGGGCGGGGAGGACACTGGCGCCGGGGACCCGCGCTCCCGGGTCCCGGACCCTGGGCCGTCCAGCGCTGCCCTGGTCCGCGGCCCTGGCTCCTGTTCTCACTTCCTTCCCCTTTTGGCTCCTGCTCTCGGAGCGGGCGGACGCGGGGGGGAGCGGAAAGGGCGGGAGGGCCAGAGAGCGGACGGAGGGGTGCAAGGGGGGTGGTGCGGCGAAGCCGAGGAGGGGACTCGGTCGGGGGCCAGAGGACGACCGGAACAGCGGCCTGGGACCCACGCTGCCCCCACCCCTCCCGAGCAGGTCAGAGCCAGAGCACCCTGTGACCCTGCCCGCTCCCCGTCCTTGTGAGCCTCTCCTCTGCAGAGCGCACCCAGGGCCCCCAGTGTCCAACCCCCGCGTCGCCCGCCTGCCCCGGCCTCCTGCAGGACTCTCATCTGGGCGCCTGGACGCTCGCGCCCGCCTGACCCCGCCACCCGCACCCCTCCCCCGTCTCTCTCCAGGCGCCCCCATGGCCCGACCCCGCTGACTCCTGCACTCGGCCATGCTCCCGCGGCCCCTGCGGCTGCTTTTGGACACGAGCCCCCCCGGGGGAGTCGTGCTGAGCAGCTTCCGGAGCCGAGACCCCGAAGCGGGTGGGGACCCAGGTGGCCGGGTCGTGGGCGGGGGGCAGGCGCAAGAGGAGGAGGAGGAAGAAGAAGAGGTGAGACGCGGGCGGCGGGAGGCAGGGGCGTGAACGTGGCCGAGACTGTCCGCCTTTCTCCCGCTGCCTCTGGGCCCTGCCTCTCCCCTCCCTCCCAGCTCCAGGGACTTCCGCGCCTCGGCCTGGGTGTGTGCCAGCCGCCCTGCCGCAGGGAGTGCTGGCGTCTGTGGTTTGTGTCAGTGCGGCTCGGGAGCTGTCCGCAGGAACATGCCCTGGTCCTGCCCGGCCGTCCCGGCTGGTCCCCGGCCTTCCCTGCCTACACCTGAGAGTGCCCGCCTCTCTGGGCGCTGGGGTCGCGCTCCCCGTCGCCCTCCTGGGTTTTGTTTGGCGGGGAGGGGTTTGTTGCCACAGTAACCAGCTTCTCTGACTCTGGGATTGGGGAGGGAACCCTCTGGTTTCTTGACCCCTCCCCTTCCCAGCGTCCCTCCCCCTCCCGCTGCCTGGTGCTTAGGCCGAGGCTGGACACACGGGGTGGTCATCTGCTTTTCCTGGGGACGAATGATGGTGGCCAGGAGCAGGGTTTGGGGCCTCAAGAGAGGCCGGAAGTTGGTTTTGGGGCCCTCGGGCCCTGGACTCCCGGGTCCAGACCTGAGTGAAGGCAGGGAGACTGGCAGGGCTGGTTTTTCGAGATTGGCAGGGGGGAGGGGCTGGGGCCACGTGACTCTTGAATCCACCCCCCCCATCATCCCCACTTCCCCTTCTCCTTCCTGTATTGGGATTGGAGCAGCTACCTTTGGGGTCCCCAGGACTGAGATAGTGGAGGCCCCCTAGCCGGGGAACCAGGGTAGAAGAGGGCGGGGGAGAAGGAGGGTCCTTGGTTGGGAGGGCGGGGCATGAGGCCGCTCTGCCGGTGACTGGGCTTTCAGCTTCTCTGTGCCTCTGGTGCTCTGCCTCTCCTGCCCTTTGCGCCCTGCTCCTCTGCTGTGTTGGGGTTCAGCTCTGGGGGGAAGGGGCTTTGGGGGTCTCCAGGATCAGAGTTTCTGCACTCCATCCGCTCCCCAACTGCAATCCCCTCGACTCCATCGGGCCCTGAGGCGGCTAGGGGGGGGCTGTCTGGGCCCCAGTGGGAGAGACCTGGGGTCGCCAGCCCCCCCGGCCCCCCGCACCCGCTGGTACTGGTCCCTGCCGCCACAGGTGAGGGGTGCAGAGGGAGGCGGAGGGCCCGGGCGAGGGCTGGGCAGTGGGCGGTGGTGTGTGGAACTCTATGACTTCCCCTTCCTCGCCGCTGCAGGCCCCCGTGTCTGTGTGGGAAGAGGAGGAGGATGGCGCCACGTTTACCGTCACAAGCCGCCAGTACCGGCCTCTTGACCCCTCGGTGAGATGGTGGCTCTGACTCCGCTCTGGCTGACTTTCTGGCCCGAGTGCTAGGTTGGACATCTGCTGTCCTGATGGTCTTTGGCCCCTCTCTGGGTCTCAGCAACATGAACTGGCTTAACGTCTAGATCTGGGACTGTCCCCGAGACCCAGGGGCAGAACTGAGGGCGGAAGTCAGTGATGGGTCTTCTGCATCCTGCAGGCTCCCCTGCCTCCCCCGCGTTCTTCCCGACGGCTCCGAGCTGGCACCCTGGTGGCCTTGGTCAGACACCTGCTGGACCCTCAGACGTCAGGGGCTGATGTGACCTTCGTGTCCGCCCTCCTGGCCACCCACCGGGCCTTCACCTCCACGCCTGCCCTGCTAGGGCTCGTGGCTGACAGGTGAGGGACCTAAGGGACCAAGGATCATGGCGGTGTCGGGATTTCCTGAAGCCCCCAGCATCCCACAGCGGGGCGAGGCGGGGCGAGGCGGGCAGGGGGATGTGGTTGGAGAGATGTCCTTCCCTCTGCAGACTGGAAGCACTTGAGTCTCATCCTGCTGATGAACTAGAGCGGACAACAGGGTGAGTGACCCCGGATTCTTAGCCTCGCCGTCCCCTCCGCACCAGCTGCAGCCTGACCTCTGACCCTTGGCTGATTCCCCTTCTCCCAGGGTAGCCATCTCTGTCCTGTCCACCTGGCTGGCCTCTCACCCTGAGGATTTTGGCTCTGAGGTCAAGGGTCAGCTTGACCGCCTTGAGAGCTTCTTGCTCCGGACAGGGTATGCAGCAGGGGAGGGTGTTGGGGGGGGCACCGCTGACCTCATCCGAAACCTCCGGTCTCGGGTGGACCCCCAGGCCCCCGACCTTCCTAAGCCCCTGGCCCTCCCCGGCGATCCCCCTGCTGACCCCACGGATGTCCTGGTGTTCCTCGCTGACCACTTGGCCGAACAGCTGACCCTGCTAGATGCGGTGAGACCCTGACCTTTGCCCCCATGCCCCCAGCCCTTTACTAACCTCTCCTCGGCTCCACACCCTTCCCTTGCCTCCACCCCTTCCCGATCCAGCTCCCAGCCTCCTCAAATCCCACTTGACCTTTCCCCTTTCCCCTTGGTTGTTACCCTTCAAACCCCGGGCCGCTCTGGTTCCCTGGCTACCCGAGATCCTCAGATCCCTGATATTGGAAGTCTGGCCTCATATGGCTTTGAACTTTAATCTTTGACCTCTGCCTTCCAGGAGCTGTTCCTCAATCTGGTCCCCTCTCAGTGCTTGGGGGGCCTGTGGGGCCACAGAGACCGGCCGGGACACTCCCATCTCTGCCCATCTGTCAGAGCTACTGTCACACAGTTCAACAAGGTGGCAGGGGCAGTGGTCAGCTCTGTCCTGGGGGCCACCTCAACCGGAGAGGGGCCTGGGGAGGTGACCATACGGCCACTGCGACCCCCGCAGAGGGCCCGGCTCCTGGAGAAGTGGATTCGCGTGGCAGAGGTGAGAGGGGATTGCCTTGTTGGGGGCGGGGGTGTGCACAGGGGTCCCACAGCCTTGGCCTCCCTCTCGGACCCCCGCAGGAGTGCCGACTGCTGCGGAACTTCTCGTCCGTGTATGCCGTGGTGTCGGCCCTGCAGTCCAGCCCCATCCACCGGCTCCGGGCAGCCTGGGGGGAAGCAGCCAGGTGGGGCAGCCAGGCGCTGCACTGGGCGTGGCGACCCCTCCGAGGGCTGGGGAGTAGGGGTGGCCACGTCAGGCCTGCCCTTACGGCCGCCATGTCCCCTCCTCCAGGGACAGCCTCAGAGTCTTTTCCAACCTCTGCCAGATTTTCTCCGAGGAAGATAATTATTCCCAGAGCAGGGAGCTCCTGGCACAGGTGAGGCTCTGCCTTCCAGTGTTCCTGGCCACCCTCCCCCCGCCCCCGCCCCCGCCCCTCCTCCACATCTCCTTGTTCCGTCACCAGCAGGAGGGGAAGCTGCAGGCCCCTCTGGAGCCACACTCCAAGAAGCCCCCGAGGTCTGGCTCCCGGGGTGGGGTGAGTGACTGGCAGGGGTGCTTGCGAGGGAGTAGGGAGCGTGTTATGGGGGTTGCAGCCCGAAGGGTGGGACAGGGCCAGGAGAATGAAATCTGTCCTCTGGGGCACTGGGGAGGCAGAGTGGGCAGGTGGGATGTGGCAGGAGCCTCTGACCCTGACCCTTGACCTCAGGGTGTGGTCCCATACCTTGGCACCTTCCTTAAGGACCTGGTGATGCTGGATGCAGCCTCCAAGGATGAGCTGGAGGTGAGCGGGGTGTGTGTGTGTTTGTGTGTGTGTGGTGCTGGAGGTGAGTGGAGTGTGTGTGTGTGTGTGTGTGTGTGTGTGATGCTGGAGGTGATGGGGTGTGTGTGTGTGGTTCACGTTACAGCGACGTAATGAGTGGGCCCCAGAGGCAGGCAGACGTCCCCCCAGAAAAGCAGAGCCTAAGCAGCTGAAAAAGCCAGATTGTGGGGTGCTCACTCTGACCCTCCGACAAGTCGCTTAACCTCTCTGGGCCTGGCTGGTCTGTAAGTGGGCGTGCATATGGGTTCAGTGGGAGGGCGCGCCTGAAGCATCAGCATAGTTAAAGTTCCTCATCCTCTGAGCCCCAGTTTTCTTATCCATAAAACAGGCACCTTTAGAAATTTGTATCTACTAATTTGGAAGGCAGGGTTACAAAAAAAGGCAGAGAGAGAGATCTTCCATCTGCTGGTTCACTCCCCAGATGTCAGCAATGGCTGGGGCTGAGCCAGGCTGAAGTCAGGAGCCTGGAACTCCATGCTGGTCTCCCACGCAAGTGCATGGGCCCAAGGACTTGGGCCATCCTCCATTGCTTCCTCAGGCGCATTAGCAGGGAAATGGATCAGAAGTGGAGCACCTAGGCCTTGAACTGGCACCCATATGGGATGCCAGTGCTGCAGGTGGCAGCTTAACCTGTGCTACAGTGCCAGCCTCAGCAAGCACGTTTTCTAACCAAGATACTCAATTCTCTTTTAAAGATTTTATTTATTTGAGAAGTAGAGTAATAGACAGAGAGAGAGGGAGAGAGAGAGAGAGAATCTTCTATCCACTGTTTTACTCCCCAAATGGCCACAATGACTGGAGCGGAGCTGATCCAAAGCCAGGAGCCAGGAACTTCTTCCTAGTCTCCTATATGAGTGCAGGGGCCCAAGGACTTGGGCCATCTTCCACTGCTTTCCCAGGCCAGAAGCAGGGAACTGGATGGGAAGAGGAGCAGCTGGGACTAGAACTGACACCCATTTGGGATGCCAGGACTGCAGGCGGAGGCTTAGCCTATTACGCCACATTGCCCTCCCACCCCCCGCCAAGATACTCGGTGTAAAGGGCCAAGTGGAGTGCTGAGGGCAGGGTGGACGTGAGGGGCGGGCAGGGGGGGTGGGAGGCATGTGCTGTGTGGCCTGGAAGGCAGGGCCAGGCCATTCGCCCCACCCCCATTTTTAATCCTTGCAGAATGGATACATCAATTTTGACAAGCGGAGGAAGGTGAGAGGCGCGTGCGAGTTGGATGCCGGCCATCCCTGTCGCTGTCCCAGGAAGGGGGCACGGGGACGTCAGGGGTCCCTGGGTTTCGGCCCCTGCAGTTGGAGGACTCCTTCCTAGGAGTTCGCTGTCCTGTCTGAGTTGCGGCGGCTCCAGAACGAGTGTCGCGGCTATGACCTCCGACCCGACCCTGACATCCAGCAGTGGCTACAGGGGCTCCGGCCACTGACGGAGGCCCAGAGGTGACTGGCTGGGTGAGGCTGGGACTCCGGGGCCCTGGCTGGGCATGGGGAAGCTGTCCTGTCCTGACCTCCGCCTATCACCCCTTCTGCAGTCACCGCGTGTCCTGCGAGGTGGAGCCGCCGGGTACCAGTGACTCTCCTGCCCCCAGAGTGCTGCGGCCAACGCTGGTCATCTCACAGTGGACAGAGTGAGGCAGGGGGCGCCTAGGGGGTGGTTTCCTGGGAACGCGCCGCCCTCCCTCTGACCCTGTCCATCTCCTGCCATTCCAGGGTTCTGGGCTCTGTCGGGGGCCCCACCCCCATGGTGTCCTGGGACCGGCCCAGTGTTGGGGGAGAGGAGGCGCCTGGAACCCCTGCTCCTCTGCTGACCCGCTTGGCCCAGGTGCGCGCTGCTCCCGACCCCGACTCTGAAGGCTCCCTGCCGACCCTGCCCGCCCTCATGCCGCCTCTCACGCTGTCTGTCTCCAGCACATGAAGTGGCCATCCGTCTCCTCTCTGGACTCTGCCCTGGAAAGCAGCGTGTCCCTGCACAGCCCCGCTGACCCCACTCACCTCTCTCCCCCAGCCTCCTCCCCCAGGCCCTCTCGAGGTCACCGGCGCTCCGCCTCCTGTGGCTCCCCACTGAGTGGGGGTGCAGAAGGGGCCTCCAGGGGGCCTGGATGTGGGGGAGGGGCATCTGGGCCAGGGGCCTCTGACTGCCGAATCATCCGAGTCCAGATGGAGCTGGGGGAAGATGGCAGTGTCTACAAGAGCATCCTGGTGAGCGGCCGTGGCTGCGGTGCGGTTTGGGCGTGCCTGGTCGGACCGTAAATGTTGTCTTAGGTCTGGGCAGCCAAATGATTCCAGTTTTACTTCATTTTTGAAGAGTTACTTATTTGAAAGGCAGAGCTACAAGGAGAGGGAGAGGGCTTCCACCCGCTGGGTCCCTCCCCAAGTGGGTGCAACAGCTGAGGCTGGGCCCAGCTGAAACCAGAAGCCAGGAACTCCATCTGGTTTCCCAGATGTGGGAGACCTGGGAGTTCTTGCTTCTCGGCTTCCTGGCCTGGCCTGACCCCAGCCATTGCGGCCATTTGGAGAGCGAACCAGCAGATGGAAGATCTCTATATGTATTTCTCACTCTCTCTAAGTCTGCCTTTCAAATAAATAAGAATAATTTTTTAAATTATTATTTATTTGAAAGTTACAGAGAGAGGTGGATACACAGCTAGGTCTTCCATCCACTGGTTCACTTCCCAAATGGCCCCAACAGCCAGAGCTGAGCCAGTCTGAAGCCAGGGGCTTCTTCTCCCACGTGGGCACAGGGGCCCTCGGACTTGGGCCATCTACTGCTTTCCCAGGTGCATTAGCAGGGAGTTGGATGAAAGTAGAGCAGATGGGTCTTGAACCTGCACCCGTATGGGATGTTGGTGCTCCAGGCTAGGGCTTTAACCTGCTGCGCCACAGCGCTGGCCCCAAAGTAAATATTAAAAAAAAAAAAAAAAAAAGTGGAGCAACTGGGACTTGAACCGGTGCCCACGTGGGATGGCAGTGTTGCAGGTGGCAGCCTAACCTGCTGCACCGCACTGGCCCCTCCTCTAGTTTTAATCCATTACCAGGTTTTCAGAACCAACTGCAGTCTCCTCACTGGGAAGCAGCCTCTCCCTTTTTTAAAAAATTTTTTTACTTATTTGAAAGGCAGAGAGGCATAGACAGAGCTCTTCCATCTGCTGGTTCACTCCCCAGATGCCTTCAACAACTGGTACTGGGCCAGGCTGAAGCCAGGAGCCCAGAACTCAGTCTGAGTGTCCCAAGGGGTGGCAGGGACCCAAGTACTTGAGCCATGCGTCACCCGCTGCCTCCCAGGGTGTGCATTAGCAGGAAACTGGAACCTGTAGTGGGGCGGGGACTTAGAGGATAATGGGATGTGGGTATCTGAGTGGCAGTGTGTTAACTGCTGTGCCAGCAGCCCTCTTGCACTGGGCACCACATGGGCTGGCTTTATGGGGTACAGGGACCCACCCTGTTCATTTTAAAGTGTTGGGCAAAGGTAACCGTTTATGGTTGGGGCAGTGGCTGATTGGAAGGATGGGGAGCAGTGGTCATCAGGGCCACTCTTCTGCTCTTTTGGTCCCTGTTCTACCAGGTGACAAGCCAGGACAAGGCTCCAAGTGTCATCAGTCGTGTCCTTAAGAAAAACAATCGTGATCACGCGGTGGCTTCCGAGTACGAGCTGGTCCAGCTGCTACCAGGGGAGCGAGGTGAGGGGCCACGAGGGAGATGTGGATGTGGGAGGAGTGGCGCCCCTCGGTGGAGTTGTCAGGGGCCCCGTCTTGTGCTTGACGCCCACCCTGTGACCCGACAGAGCTGACCATCCCGCCCTCGGCTAACGTCTTCTACGCTATGGATGGCGCATCGCACGACTTCCTGCTGCGCCAGCGGCGGAGGCCTTCTGCTGCTACCCCGGGCTCCACCAGCGGCCCCTCGGCCTCAGGAACTCCCCCAAGTGAGGGAGGAGGTGGCTCCTTTCCCAGGATCAAAGCCACAGGGAGGAAGATTGCACGGGCCCTGTTCTGAAGAGGAAGCCCCGTTGGCTCGAAGAAGTCATGGTGTTCATGGCAGACGTGGGAGGCGCCCTGGGTGGGGCCGATGGGTCACACCGGGACAGAACTTCCTAACGGCGGCCAGCCACCCTGGGGCGGTGAAGTGCCACCGGCTTACCAGACTGAGAGATCCAGTCCTGTGGGAGCTGACAACCTTGCAACCAAGTTGGATACCTGTACACAGCTCCCTACCTCTCGTCAATGTGCCACGTAACTAGTCGTGGAGAAAGGCACTGGTTTCTGATTCCTGGCCACATCCTAGCAGCAGCGGGCCAAGGAAAAGCCTGGAGGCCTAGAAACGCAGGATAGAGATGGGGCAGGGAAGGGCAAGGCCGAGGCTCTGAGCCCCAGGGCACACGGGGACGGCTGGTGGGTTCTAGTGGGAGCGTCATTTCCCACGCTGGGGGTTCCTGTCACTGTGACAACACTAATAAACCAAAACACTACCTGGACTGTCCGTGGTCTTGCAGTGCATCCGCCTTGGCCAAGGATAAAGCTGGGGAACAGGGCAGCAGTGTTTTCTACCCCCATGATGAGCAGAGTGAAGTCTCAGTGAAAATGGTTTCCATAGAATGTGTTCTTTCCTTCATTTACTCTGAAGATTTTCTCATTTGTCATGACCCATGTGAGGCAGGAGCCCCAAATTAAAGCCATCTGTATGAAGGACTCCCCTGGCTGCAAATTAAGAAACAATTTTAGGACAAAGAAATGCAAGAACCACTTTGTGGGTGACGTAAAACTTGGAAATCTCATAACAATGTAAAGCATTATGTGTTGGGATTTTTAAATCAGTCTAAACTACACATTCTAGGCAGGCAGAAGCTACAGAGAACTAGGATTTCTGGGCTTCCTGGTGGATGTACGAGGGCACTGCAAAAAGTTCATGAAAAAACGGAACACGAGAGAGATGGTTATTTTGGTACAGAAGCTTTGGAGTCATGCATGTGATGGGTCTTCAAAGAGTACATGGAAAATGCATGATTCAAAATGTCTTGCATGGAAATATTTTTATTGAGAAGCAGAGTCAAAAGCCCCCACCTGCTGTAACCCAACCTTTTATTTCCATTTTCCCATGAGCCCTACGGAGCACTTGTATTCACAGCAAGGGGAGGAGTCACATTTCATCCTGGGTTCTCAGAGAATTCTGAGTTCTTCAATTTAAACGACACTCCCAACAATATGCTTAGGTTGTAAATGTCCTTGTGTTTCCTAAAAGGCCGTGTCTTAGGAAAATAACGGAGAATTAAGGGCTGTACATACGAGTACAGGTGAGGAGCAGCTTTGAGACATTTTAGAGTTTAGTTCCAGAGACTGCAGGTGCTGGAATGTGGGCTTGAGGGAGTAACAGTGGTGTGTGGTGTGTGGGTCAGGTGATGGAGGCCGGGGGAACAGACAAGCAGGACAACAGAGCCAGGTGTTTACATTTTATTAGGTACTTAGAGTGGCCCATCCCACCCCGCCCCGCCCCGAGGTCAGGCCTTCCCGGGAGCCCCTGCCTTGGCCGCCTGGGCCCGCTGGAACTCCTGCTGCAGCTGGGCCAGGGTCTCCCTCTGCTGCTCTGACTGCCGTTCCAGATCCCGGAGCTGGGATTCGTATCGCTTACTGAGGAGAGGCCAGGGGCCAGAGAAGACAGGGAGAAGTTAGAGGGACTTGCTAGGGGGAGGGGCAGGCCGCGTTAAAAGGGGAGGCTTCCGTGGGCTGCTCCGAAGGGCAATCCACTCAGGTCCCCAGCACCCGCCGGCCGACAGCCAGGGCAGTGGGACAAAAACTCACATTTCAGCTGTGATGTAGTCCAGCCTCTTCCCCACCGTGGCCCGCGCCTCCCCCAGCTCCTGCTTAACCAGCACCGGCCCCAGCAGTTTAAAGACCACGTTGGACCCGTCCAGCAGAGCCAGTTCCTGGTGGGCGAGCGGGACGGGTCTGATCAGAACCGCAGCCGGTCCAGGCTGCTCCGCCCCCACAACTCCCGGCCCCTCACCTCCTTCACGATGTTGTTTTCCGTTAGTTGGGCTTCAAGCTTCTGCCTCCCTGACATGGATTTACTCAAGTCTAGGGAGGAAGGGAGACGTGAGTGGGACACCAAGAGTGCCACGGGCTCCCACAGTCCTGGCCCAGAAGGCGGATGTGAGGAAGCAGACCGGGAAGAAGGGGCGAGTATACAGGCGGGGAAGGAGCGGGCCGGCTGGGGCGGAGAGCTCGTTTCGGCTAGTCTGCGGGCTGCGGCGAGACTACGCCCACCCGGTCCCTTACCCTTCTGTAGCTGTTGATACTTCTCCACTTCTCCCTGCAGCTTCTTCTGGATCAGCTCGGCCATGGCGGGGATGAAAGCCTGCGGGAACGGGAGAGGGGCGCTGGGGTCGAGCTCCCCTTTCTGGTCGGGCCGACGGAAATGACAGTCCTCTTGAGAGGCAGTCCTTCGGGGCACCGCGGCCTCTCCCTGTCCGGGAAGTCGAATCGACCCGACCCCAGTGGGTGCAGGACGAAAAGAAACGCAAAACCCCTGAAACGGTACCCTAACCTACTCACGTTCTCCCTTCTGTATTAATCAACCCGGAAGTAAACATGGAATGCTGGGAAAATCAATCCGGAAGTTGCCTCCAGGTTGCATGTCGGGAAATGTAGTTCTAACATTTTTAATAAGCGGCATTCGGCTGAAATGACTGGACTCAGAAGGTTTTAGGCAAGACAGAGAAGTTAATCCGGAAAAAGACTATTCTGTTACTGGTTTCTGGCCCGGACTTGACTTTTTTTCCCCATTCCTCGGGTATAAGCTGCGGCGCCCGAGGGAGATGCCACAGCACGCCCCGCCCCTTAAAGGAGAGTGTGCCCTCACTCAAGATGGCGTGCTCAAGACTTCAGCCCTGGAACGATGCTGATTGGCTGAGGCGGAACAGAGGACTTCCGGGAGAGTCTAAGCCGACTGTGGGACAGCTGAGAGATTTGCACGTGGATCGTTGTTCCAGTGGGCGAGATGGAGACAGTCCCAAAGGCCAGTCAGGATGCCCCACCCAAGAAGGACAAACCTCAGGCCAAGAGGAAGGTACAGGCTTCTCTGGACGGGCAGGGAGGTTTTAGCTGTGGGGTTCGGGGGCGGGACGTGGGCCGCGGAGTTCCAGGGCTCCTGATCTGCCCGTAGAAACCGCGGCGATACTGGGAAGTGGACACCACTCCGAGCGCCACCGGCGCCTCTCCAGGCCCGCCTCCTAAGAAGAAGCGGAACCGGGAGCTCCGGCCCCAGAGACCAAAGAACACTCAGGTCACAAAGAAGTCGCGCATCTCCAAGAAGACCCTGGTCGCGAGGAAGTCTCGAGGGCCGAAGAAGCCGGAGCCCCAGCGGAGCTTGTCTGGGGTGAGCCTGCACCGCGGCAGGGTGGCGGGGGCAGGTTTCTCTGTGCTTTGCGAGTGAAAGGGTTGGGGGGTCAGCCCGAAGCTGTGAGCTGACTGCCTCCTCTCTGCCCCAGGCCCAGGACCCCTTCCCGGGCCCCGCCCCCGTCCCGGTGGAGGCAGCCCGGAAGTTCCGTCGCATTGACAAATCTAAAAAGGTGAGAATCGCTGGACGGTGGGGAAGGACTGGAGGCTGGGAGCGCCTGGGTGAGAAGGATGGAGGTGGGGCCCGGTGGCTCTGCTGTGATTCTCCGTGTTCTCCCTCCGCTCCTCCTCCTCCTCCTCCTCCACTCCCAACGCTGTTGTAGCTGCCGCCTTCCAAGTCCAAGACGCGCAGCAGACTTGAGGCAGCTGAAGCTGAGGAAGAGGAAACCAGCGTCCAAGCTGCCCGCTCAGAGTTGCTGCTTGCTGAGGAGCCTGGGTGAGTGGACCCCGACCTGGCCCTGCCGGCCCTCGTCTCGCGGGATTTCCCTGCCTCGTTTTATGTTGGTGTGCCCACTTCATAGAGGGAGCTTTACTGCAGTATGGACGCTCTTCCAGGTTCCTGGAAGGGGAGGATGGGGAAGACACAGCAAAGATCCGCCAGGCTGACATTGTGGAGGCCGTGGACATCGCAAGTGCAGCCAAGGTGAGGCTGAGGAGGGAAGGAGCCCCCGGGCTGATCGGGGGAGAGCAGCAGAGGCAATACGGAGGGGAGCCCATTCGCTCCTCTGTAGCGTTTACCGGAAAGTCAGACACAGAGAGAGACAGGGAAATCCCATTTGCTGGTTCACTCAACAAACGCCTGCCACACCAGGGCCAAAGCTGAAAGCCATGAATGCAGTCCGGGTCTCCCACGTGGGTGGCAGGAACGAAGTGACTTATGCCATTATTGGTGCCTCCGGAGTGGAGCTGGGAATTGAACCCCAGTCTTTCTGGATTTTTTCTTTTCCTTTCAAACTCCCCTCTCCCGCAGCACTTTGACTTGAATCTGCGGCAGTTTGGACCGTACCGGCTGCATTACTCTCGAACTGGAAGGTAAGGCTGAACTCCAGTGACTCTTGAAGCAAGACGTGGCCAGGCTTTCTGAAACGCCTCAGCCATGCCCACCGCGGCCTCACACAGTGTGTGTGGGGTCGTGGGTGTGGGGAAAGGCTTGAGATTTGCTTGGATGTCACATCTCTCCCCTTACCCTGGACAGGGAGCTGGCACAGGGTGGACCTCCTGCTCTTTGAGTCCTGGGGTTCCGCCTGGACTAATGTGTGCCTCTTCCTCACTTTTAACAGACACCTGGCTTTAGGCGGGCGTCGGGGTCACGTGGCTGCATTCGACTGGGTGACAAAAAAGCTCATGTGTGAGATCAATGTCATGGAGGCAGTGCGGGACATCCGGTCAGTGGCCTCGCTGTCGTCGATCGGGGGCTAGGACAGCCCACTCGTGGTGGACCCCACGGCGTCCCATTGACCCCCTCCTCCTCGGCTCCAAGGTTCCTTCATTCCGAGGCTCTGCTTGCCGTCGCTCAGAACCGCTGGCTCCACATCTACGACAACCAGGGCATCGAGCTGCACTGCGTCCGCCGCTGTGACCGAGTGACGTGCCTGGAGTTCCTGCCCTTCCATTTCCTCCTGGCCACGGCTGTGAGTGCCCGTGGAGCCCGGGCCCGGGGCAGCCCTGGGAAGGGCCTGTGAGAGGGCAGATGGAGGACCATCAGGACTCCTCTCTCTCTCTCTCTCTCAGTCAGAGACAGGGTTTCTGACCTACCTGGATGTGTCGGTGGGGAAGATCGTGGCCGCTCTGAACGCCCGGGCTGGGCGGCTCCGCGTCATGGCTCAGAACCCTTACAATGCCGTCATCCACCTTGGGCACAGCAACGGTCAGTCCCCGGCTCCGCCGCAACGTCTCCCGTAGGGTTGCTAGCTTCAGGCTTGGGTTTGCGTTAGTAACTTCGGCTCTCCCCTCTCATTTCCAGGCACGGTGTCTTTATGGAGTCCGGCCATGAAGGAGCCCCTGGTGAAGATTCTCTGCCACCGTGGTGGCGTCCAGGCTGTGGCAGTAGATGCCACAGGCACGTAAGTTAGTGATTGGGGACAAAGGGTTGGGGCTCACAGGGGCAAGGTCTGAGAGATACCTTTAGAAGCACAGGTGCTATGGCCAGGCCACCTGGGTTTCAATTCTAGTGTGCCCACTGCCTGGCCAGGCACACCTCTGGGTGCTAGAATTTTCCAACCCTGGCTCAAGGGCAGGAAAAACCTTCTTTGAAGAGGTAGATGGTAAATGTTATAGACTTTGCTGGCCAGGAGGCAAAATGAAGGGTATTATGTAGATTTTTTTTTTTTTTGAAAGAGTTAGAGACGGAAGAGAGACAAAGATCTTCCATCTGCTGGTTTTCTATCCAAATGGCTATAACAGCTGGGGCTGGGCCAGGCTGAGGCCAGGAGCTTCATCTGGGTTTCTTATGTGGGTGGCAGGAGCCCAAGTGCTTGGGCCATCTTCTGCTGCTTTCCTAGATGTATTAGCAGGGAGCTGGATAGAAGTGGAGCAGCCAGGACTTGAACTGGTACCCGCAGGGGATGCTAGCATTGGAGGTCGTGGCTTAACCCACTGCACCACAATACTAGCCCCTAAAGGTACTTAAATTACAAGAAAGAAAATAAGTTATCACAAAATATTTTCTCCTAAGATTTATTTTCTTATTTATTTGAAAGGCAGAGCAGTGGAGACAGGGAGAGAGTGAGCGAGCTCTTTCATCCACTGGTTCCCTCCCACGAATGCCGCAACAGCCAAGGCTGTATCAGGTGGAAGCCAGGAGCCTGGAACTCCATCCAGGCCTCCCACATGGCTGGCAGGGGCCCAAGCACGTGAGCTATCATTGCTGCCTCCCAGGGTGTGTTAGCAGAAAGCTGAATTGGAAGTGTGGCAGTTGGAACTGGAATCAGGCATCCTGCTCTGCAATGTGGCATCCCAGGGGATGGCGTAACCGACTGTCCCACCCGCCCCATCACAGCATTTAAAATGGTGAACTTAAAAATGTAATGATTATGGTATTCTTGTAATACAGGTCCGCTAATGGGAAGAACTGAGTTACTCTTTCTGAAAATAACATTTTGCTTAATTGAGGTTCAAGGTTAGTGTTCCAGACTATGAAAGTTGAGTGTTCATCTGTTAATGCTGACCTGTAGAGACTTTACATATGTTATCTTTTGGACCTTTTTCATATGTTCGTTTTTTAAGATTTATTTATTTGAAAGGCAGAGTGACAGAGAGAGACAGAGACAGAGGTCCTCTATCCACTGGTTCACTCTCCAGGTGGTTGCGACAGTCGAGGCTGGGCAGACCTAAGCCAGGATCCTGAAACCTCATCCAGTTCTCCCACATGGGCACAGGGGCCCAAGAACTTGGGGCCATCTTCCTCTGCTTTCCCAGGTGCACTAGCAGGGAGCTGGATCAGAAGTGGAGCAGCAGGAACTCAAACTGGCATACATATGAAATGCTGGCCTGATAAAATGGCTTACCCTTTGTGCCATAACACTGACCCCATATTTCAACTTTAAATTTAAAGGTTTGTTTATTTGAAAGAGTGACAGGGGGCTGGCACTGTGGTGCAGCAGGTTAAAGCCCCGGTCTGCAGCACTGGCATCCCATATGGGCACTAGTTCGAGTCCCAGCTGCTCCTCTTCCAATCCAGATCTTTGCTGTGGCCTGGGAAAGCAGCAGAGGATGGCCCAAGTGCTTGGGCCCTTGCACTTATGTAGGAGACCTGGGAGAAGCTCCTGGCTCCTGGCTTTGGCCTGGTCCAGCCCCAGTCATTGCGGTCATTTGGGGAGTGAACCAGTGGATGGAAGACCTTCTCTGTCTGTCTGTCTCTACCTCTCTCTGTAACTACCTTTCAAATAAATCTTAAAAAAAAAAGAGAAGAGACAGAGACCTTCCATCTGCTGCTTCACTCCCCAAATGGCTGTGATGGCTAGGGCTGGGCCAGGACAAAGCCAGGAGCTTCATCTGGGTCTCCCACGTAGGTGTAGGAGTCCAAGCATTTGGGTCATCTTTTGCTTTCCCAGGCACATTGGCATGTAACAGGATCAGAAGTGGAGCAGCCAGGACTTGAACCAGAGCCTATATAAGATGGGCATTGCAGGCAATGACTTAACCCACTATACGACTCCATCGGCCCCCATAGTTTATCTTTTTTTTT